TGTCCCAGAGATTTAACCTTTGTATTTTTGTTGGCACTACCATGAGTTATAGCAGCTTTGGGACCTAAGATGATGATATTACTTGAAATGAAAGGTCTCACATATTTATTACTGAAACCAGCCAACCAACGCGTTCACAACAGACCCAGACAGGAAACGGTTCAAAATTCTCCATATAGTGTTGCCATTTTCAGCTTGATTTGGTAACATGATTGTGACCTTCAGACAGCAGGTCTGTGCCATCTCGTGCAATTCCTTATAGACCCAGCTTGGTTCTTCTCCAACGTCTCCTTCTGGAGTTGTACTTGATTTTATTACCAATGTTCATCTGAATCCACTGGGGAATGGGACGATTTTGCTTTTGTTTCTTGGCCAGGAATCACTTAGTCCTGAAAGTCTTGTAAGAAGACATGGCAAAAAGTGGAGTAAAGCACACACCACGATGGTGGAGTAAGAAAGAGAGGGGACAGGATCTAATATTCTTACAGCTTCGACTTCCACTGCTTTTCAGTGAGCATTTTCCCTGGGTGAACGCCTGGGCTCTCTGTGATGAAACCGCTTTCTTCCATGGACTCTGAAGGCGATGATGCCTTCTGGATTGGACCCTAGAGGGAACTTCAACTTTAGAGATTTAGGTGGTTCCCCAGTTTCCATTCCATTTCCTGCTCCTCTGATTGAGGATGAAGTAAGGGTGACTTTGGTTTCTAGACTTTCAAGAGGGGTCATTTTTTCCCTTACCACTGAAAATGCACCCCAAGACTTCTACTGAACAACCCCTAAGATTCCTATTCTCCCCATTTCATGGGCTTCACTTGACAGGCTCTTGGAATCAGTATCACCAGGTTAACTTCTCACAGACCTCTTCCATTCCGAAGCCGACCTGCCATGGCCCTCCAGATATCCCTTACGTTGCCTTTGGATTAAGTTTAGAATGTAGCTTCCTTTGCCTCTTCCATCAAAAATAGAATCCAGATTTGGGGAATTTGACAGGCAATAGGGCCATAGGTCATATTTCACTCAATCTAAGATAGGATCAGATTTATACATGCTCCATTATTTTACGAGCTATCAAGAAAAAGTATAACCAATTAAACAATAACATGCTTTCTTTATAATTTTATGTGCTTTATGTACTCATGTATATACATTATTACATACTTATTGAAAGAGCTCAGACTTTTTAGACATGTATCACGTAAAATATGATGAAAACAAATTTGCTAAAACTTCACCAACTCTTCTGAATCCCTTGTCAGAGTCTTTAAGTGCCTGTTTTTTCACACACCATTTTCTGCTGTGCCATCAGCAGAACTGAAAATGCATTTTCCCTCCCTCCCTCCCGCCCGCCCCTTCTGCACAATCTCAGCTCACTGCAACCTCCATCTCCCAGGTTCAAGTGATTCTTCTGCCTCAGCCACCGAAGTAGCTGGGATTACAGGCATGCACCACCATACCCGGCTATTGTGTTTTTAGTAGAGTCAGGGTTTCACCATGTTGCTCAGACTGGTCTTGAACTTCTGGGCTTGAGCGATCCAACCACCTCAGCCTGCCAAAGTGCTAGGATTACAGGTGTGAGCCACTGCGCCCTGCCTAGCATTTCTTAAGCCAGTACTATACCTTGATTATCAGCATTTTCTTTCTGGGTACCCATTCTCCAAGTTTTGATACTGGAGTTGATCTTACCAGGTGTTAATGGAAGTTTCTGAGGCAATAGACAGGATTCACATTCCTATCTCAAATAGGCAGGAAATGACACTAAGTCATGACTGCTACCTGGCCAATAGCAATTCTAAGACACCATTCATCCTGAAGTGAGATTGATTGTATGTTCTATCTCAGTATCAGAGATGCTAAAATGTGAAAAATGATGAATTAAGGCAGTCCTTATGAGGCTACCTTTTGGGTTATCCTGAAGGTAATACCCAATCTAGCCCATGTGCAATGGCCCCACCTCATCCATCAGGCATTGCTGTATCAGACCAGGCCAGACTGGGCCAAGTGGATCCTGGACATTTGGAATTGGGACTAGTCTCTTGTGTCAAGAAAATGCCAACACTAGGCACTGTGGAATCGGCCTCTGCCACCACAGGGAGGTTGGCACCCAAAGATGGGCTGCAGGGAGAAGAGGGAGGCTGACACACAGACAGGGACCAAGAGAAGCTGGAGAGAAGGCAGGACCTCAGCCTCCCAAGGGCTTTCCAGTTCTGTGGCTGGTGCCTACCTGGAGCTGGGCTGCTCTCTGCCTCCTGCATCTGAGGCAACCGGAAGCCTTACAGTCATTTCCCCTGTGTCTTTAAGCTGCCTGGTTGGCCCATGGTGCCGCCAAAGGGCCCCACCGCATCACCTTCACTGTGCTTGCTCAGGTCTCACCTGCACTTCAGACAGCAGCTTCTCCACACTTCTTGGGGCTGTGAAAGCCACGACAGCCACAAAACAACCCACAAAGCAACTTCTAGAGCTACTGCTCAACTGAGGATCCTATCAGGCAGTGTTTGAGTGTCCTGTAAAGCTGAGGCCCAGCTACTGCCCAGTGACCTATGTTCTATCCCCCTAAGCTTGGCTTCATTTGTAGAGGGGTGAGGGAGGGGCAGCCTATAACCTTGGACAGCTCCAAATGAGGTCACTTGCCCCATTCAGGGATTAAGCCTACAGCTGTCAGCCTCAGCCCTTTGCCACTAACCATTTGAGCTAAGCAGCCCACCCATCTCCTGCTGGACCCAGCTATTCTGGCTTTTTTGGGGGTCAGAGCTTAAAAGCTTCCTTCTCCCCTCTCTGTGAATGGCACTTTTAAGGCTTAGGAGCTCAGGTCCAGCAGCTAAGGCAGCCTCCCAAAGGCCAATATTGCACATCAGGTCTTTGAAGCTAGGGCAGTTTCTCCAGCAAGTCATGCTTATGCCATAGGTCACTGACGTCAGGGAGGCAGCCAGCTTCCCAGGGCATGAACAATGGAGCACAATTAGCTACCTATGGCTGCTGTAACAAATTGTCACAAATGAAGTGGCTTAAAATAACGCAAACTTGTATCTCACAGTTCTGGAGAAGAGAGACCCAAAATGAGTCTGTAGGCCTGCATTCTATCTGGAGGCTCCCGGGAAGAATCTGTTTTCTTATCTTTTCTAGCTTCTAGAAGCTGCCCACATTCATTGGCTTGTGGCCTCACATCATTCCAACTTCTGCTTCTGTTGTCACATGCTGACATGCCTGCTCCCTAAGAACCCACTCAGATAATCCATAACAATTTACTCATCTCAAGATTCTTAATCACATCTGCAAAGTTGTATTTGTCATAGAAATTAACAATCATGGGTTCCAGGGATTAGGACATGGACATCTTGGGGGACCATTACTCAGCCTACGACAGAGCACAGAGACTGAAAGAGGGTTCCCCTTAATGTTTTTTTTTTCTTTCTATAATCAGGCCTTTTTCTTTAAGAATATTTAAAACAGCATTACGAAGCACAACTGATGTTCCCACCTCGCCCCGCCTTTTACAGACGGTCTTGCTGCTTTGCTCAGGCTGAACTTAAAACTTCTGGGCTCGAGTGATCCTCATCTCAGCCTCCCAAGTAGCTGGCACTACAGACATGTACTACCACGTTCTGCTACAGCTGTTTTTTTAATACAACTCTAGGGATGATACCCATTGCCACTTATTAAATGTCTACTGTGTGCCAGGGAGATAAGGAAACAGCATTATCGACCCCATTTAAGGAGGTCACTTGCCCAGGGTAACCCAACTGGTCTGTGGCAGGCAGACTTGAGCTCACATCTGCCTCCCTTGCCAGGCACTGATGTTGAGGTTGTATTTCTTCCCTTGGCATCTATAATGCAGACCCTGGTCTAAAGTCTTCTTTGCGTTGGAGAGCTTTGGAGCCTTACATTCAGGGGTGCTAAGGCTCATGCCACCTGCAGAAGTATTAGAGGCCCTGGCACAGGCCAAAGAATTGGCAAAGCCTTCAGTTTCTCCTCACCACCTCAAAAAATCAAATCTGTTCTCCATCCTACTAACTCACTCAGCCCAATGACCACACTTGTCGGGCACTGACCCCACGTCCAAGGGACAGCTATGGGCTGGTCCAGTGATGGAGGAAGTAGGTGGCAGCTAGGTCACACTCTTGCCACAGGCTTGGTGCCCAGAACAGTCATTAGGGTTTTGTTAAGGGATGGCCAGGCCAGAGAGAGGAGAGACTGGCCTTCATGAGGCTATCAGCAAAGTCCCTACAAAAGTCAGAGGTAGATAAAAAAGGTACGAGCTGCACACCCACACAGGCAGGAAAGGGATGCGATGGATTCATCCCACTGACACACGAACAATCAGCTGCCACCTGTCAGCTGTCAATGGGGAGAATTCCATCTACCCATTTAAAGCAAGCTGGAACGGGTTACAATGAAAACTGGCCAAGGATGAAATTTAAAGGATGCATGGCGGAAAGTGATGCAGTGGGTTGCAAAACAAATGTCAGATAAAAGGCATGGGCTCAGGGGCCCTGGTGCCAGAGCACATGACGTCCTATAGAGACTATCGTTTACTCTGGAGAAGCTAGAGTGGTACACACAGTATTCGGAATTCAGGGATGGGGCCTAAGATGCTGTATTTCCAATGCGCTCCCAGGTGATGCTGAACAGCTGCTATCTGTGGGGCATCTTGAATAGCAAGGGATGTGATGACTCTTAGAGACAACTCAAGCTGTTCCCTGCAGTACAAATAAAACGAGAGGAGGGCATGCAGATGTCACAGAGCTGTTTGAGGCTGTGGAAAAATGAAGGTGGGGCTTATCACCAAGAAGTCCTTTACACATCTATGACTTTTCTGTCCAGCTCCTAGGAGACTGCGAAGAAATTGTTTCCCTTTTTAAAATCGAAGAAACCGAAGTGTAGGAAGATTGATCATAGCAGAGTCAAAAACATTATTGGGGTAGATACTGGCGCCCCACACCATCCTTGACCCCACACACATTTCCAGAAAACGTCAAGCAAGGAGCAGGCAAAGAGCTGTCATGGGAGAGTGGTTTTAATACCGTCTGTGTCAAGCAATATCAAAGTTGTCCATACTCTCCCAAGTTTGTCCTATTTTGAACAGACAATATTAAAATTTTTTTAAGTGTGTGCTGATAAAGAGACTAGTCAAACCTCAGAGGATTTAAAAATGAGAAGCCACATAAATTCTCTTCCTTAAAAAACAGCCATTTCAAAAGATTTTCTTTAATATCATAAAATATTTTCATGGACAAGTGAGCTAGCAAACACACATGCACCAATGTGCCTTTTGACAAGAGAACCCCCTACCCCGACTCCCACACCAAAGTGGACATGAGATTGGAGAAATGAATACAGCAGATGGAACAGATAGAGAAGAAAAAAACTCAGTAAAAAGGATGGAATATAACTTTGTGCTTGGTTATTTTCCTATGCCACAACAAAACAAGACATTTCGGTGCAAATAGTTAATCTTTCCTCTTTTTTTCTTGTCTGGTGGAGAAAAAAATACTTTTTCTATAATAAAATATGTAGTTTTTTGGTTTTTAACGTAACTTTTTTTTTTTTCTTTTTTTGCAGAAAATAATTTTGTAAACTGTCACTTCGCGGGCAGGGAGGCTCGATGCCACGTGGGCCCCAGCTCGCCACGGTGGAGGCTGAGAGCTGAAACCGAACACCGGCAGGAGACGGGCGACGGCGGAGGTGCAAGGTAGGGCATGGCGCACGGGACGAGGGCGGCCGGGCGGGGCGGATTAGAGGTCACTCTCGCCATACAGTGCCGTGGAGAAGGACATGTAGTCCAGGGCACCCGGCACAGAGTCGGGGCCGGTGTAGGGGGCCATCCGCGCGATGCAGTACTCGGCCTGGTCGGGTGGTAGCTCGCGGCGCAGCTCCTCCATGGTAATGTAGTTCTGCGGGGAGAGAGGGGTCAGGGTGGCCGCAAAGTCCGGCGGCCGTAAAGCAGCACGGCTGGATACAGCCGCAAAGCCCGGTGGCGTGCAGGCAGCGTGTGCCCGCTGCATTTTGCCTCCGTCCTGAAACTACAGGAGGTATGCATACAAATACCCGTGTATGGATACAGGAGGTACGCATACAAATATGTACATGGCACCTACACAACGTGTACTTTTTAAATTGTCTCAGGTTTTCCACTTCAGTACCTACTTTTTAAGCCTCTTTCCAATCTAATTCCATGTACCAGTTACACCTATCATCATCTCCTGAATCACACTAGTCTGCAATAATTGCGTGCTGGAGCAGTATCTGCAGATATTCTGGAGGAGTGTATAGGTTCCTGGGGGGGCCACCCTGCATGTCCTCAGCTGAGCTCTCTGGAGGCCTCAGACAGAGAGTCTAATTTTAATGAGCCCTCCAGCAGATTAAGAACACCATGTTTGGGCATTACTGCTTCTTAAATATGGCCAGGCTATCTTAAGCTCCTTTGCAGAAATGTGGGCCTTGCCCCATGCAAGCAGCTCCAGCCTGGGTCTATGCCTTCTCCCAGATTTGCCCATGATAGGTCTACTTGGAAGCTGCTGCTTTTAGGAGCTTGAAGATCGAGGAGATCTCATTTGGGGGCAGTGACCCACAAGGTAGTCTCCCTGCACCATGCCCTACCTCTGCCCCTGGGAACCAGTTTGACGGAAGGTGGAGCTGCCTCTGTCAATCCAAAAGTTGGGAGACCAGGCCCCTATCTGGGCCCCAGTTTTCCTCTTCTACAAAATTAGTCACTATAACTAGATGGTTTGATGATCCTTCTATAATATTCAAGGGACCCGTGGCTTCTACAGTCCCTGGGCTGGAGATGGCTGTGGTTCTGAGTGACATCCAGGTCTACCAATGACCATCACAGCAGAGACTTGGACTGCGCCTCTGGCATCCATGGAGGCAGCCCCTTCACTGCCAAGTGGAGTGCTGTAGGGTATTTGGGAGATTTGGAAACCCAGAGTGGATCACTGCTCAGGGTAGAAAACACCGGAGACATGCTTCCTTCCTGCGTCCTGCAGTCCCTTTTCCTGCTCCCACTATAGTTCATGCCGATGCTCAGGATGATACCAAGGGTGAAGTCCCAGGGGTTGTCAGATGGACTCCAAGAGTCCAATCACACATCCACACCACTCTACTCCCTTCTGCTGCTTGTCATTTCTTCACAGCTATGGAGTCCCACACTGGCATGCAGTGATGCTGGAGGGTCACTTATGCTAATCCTGTGTCCTGACACCTTAGCTGAGCCCAAGGCATTATGACAAACAAGGAGAGACCCAAGGGGCCCTGGAAGAAGGGGTGGTTGAGGAGTTCACGTTCCAGCTCTCGCCCCTCTAGATCGCAGTCCACCCTGTGCCTGCCACCCCAGCACAGTGCCCATGCCATAGGACACCAACCTTGTCCCCAGCCAGGATCTTGAAGGAAGCCATGACTTGGTCTGCTGTATCTGTATCGGCTGTCTCACGGGACATGAAGTCGATGAAGGCCTGGAACGTCACTACCCCCAGGCGGTTGGGATCCACAATGCTCATGATGCGGGCAAATTCTGCTTCTCCCTGGAGGGAACAGCCAGCCCCAGGCCTTTCAGGGAATATCTCACATGGACTGAAGACCCTGGGGGCTCAGAGCAGCCTGTGGCTGGAAGAGGAGGGCACAGCAGCCCCCTAACCTAACCTGGGTTGTCCTGAAGGCATGATGGGGACATAACACCCAAGAGTAGAGACCCAGCTTAGGGTTTCTCATGCCCTGCAAATGCCTGGGTTCCCCTTAGAGCAAATAATCACGCAGATAATAACTATAATGACAATGATTTATAGTGGCTGGCACCCACATAGCATATATTATATGCCCAGTATTAACCTAAAAGCTTTACTTCAATATATTTAATCATCACTACAGCCATAAAGGTAGGTATTTTGTGATCTTCATTGTACAGATGAGAAATCTGAAGCCCAGACAGGCTAAGTGACTTGGCCAGGGTCACACAGCCAGGAGGCAGCAGAACTGGGATTTGAACTCAGGCAGTCTGGTTCTAGAATCCGTTCTCTCCTTACCACACTGTATTTTTTACATGCCAGATATATGCACAGACTTAAATTCCCTCATTTAACCCTTGCAATAGTCCTGTAGGGTTCCCCACTTCACCTGAGGCTACACGCTAATGACGGCAGGGCTGGGATCTACCCCCAGGTTCACTGCTCCTCGTCCCATGCCCATAGGGGGCTGGGCAGCCTGGCACCAGGGCTCAGAAGTCACCTGACTGCCTTGCTCAGAATATCTGCGTGACGGGGGACAGACTAAGAAGGTTAGGGGCAGCCTAAGAAGGACGGCTTGGGACAATCCAAAGGGGGCAGGACTGACGGGAGCCACCGCCAGGACAGAGGTGGAAGTCTGTTTGTATGCTCTGTGTGAGGCAACGCTGAGCCAACCCCAAACCCGGGATGTTCCATACGCCCAGTCCTTCCTGCCGGCCTCAGGGTCAGCCCAGCCGTCCACAGTGGGAGTGAGGAAGTACCAGAAGATAAAGTAGCACAGAGATGGAGGCTAGGAGGCCAAGCCTCTTGGATACACAAGGCCCGTAGCCAGGCGGGCTTTCAGGGAGCCATCTTCCCCAAGGACAGGGGCAGCCCCTAGCCTCAGGGCCTCCAGCCTGCCCCGGCTGGGACTTGGCTGCTCCAGCCAGCTGGCTGCCGCCTCACCAGAGCAGACAGGGTGGGGTTTACATTACCATGTTGTAACCCATGGAGATCAGGCAGGCGCGGAAATCATCCGTGTCCATCATGCCTGTCTTCTTCTGTGGGGGGTAGTAGTACCGAGACACAAGGAGGGTCAGGAAGGCAGGAAGAGGAAGGGCCGGCCCAGGGCCAGGAAGACAGGGACAGATGGCCAGAGCGGGGATGAGGTTATGGTTTCGGGAGTCAGGACAGGGAAAGGAACACAGGAGAAGATGCAAACACATATAGGTGGAAATGTCCACAGGCAGGAGGAAGACAACAGGGAGACGCCACAATCCACCCATGGGATGAAGAGGGGCGAGGATGAAGGACAGCGGGCACCCGCAGGTTGCCACAAAAGACAGGAGAATGGAGCAGTGACAGGGCAGGGAGAGACGGGAGGACAGGACGAGCCCCACGGCCCACAGGAGGGGACAGGAGATCCAGACAGAGAGAAGAGAAAAAGGAAAAACGCATTATTTCTCGCCCCAGATGCCACCCCTGAGTGTGCTCCATGCAGGAGGCAAGTACCTGGGGGTCGTTGCCAATATCATAACCCAAGCTGATGAGGCAGGCTTTGAACTCCTCGGGACCCAGTGTGCCGGAGTGATCCTGGGGCCGCGGTGCGCCAGGCAGCGAGCCATGCGGTGTCAGGGAGGTGGAGCCGTGAGGGGGGCATGCCCCAGGGGAGGGTGGCGTGTGTGGGGAGACACAGGGACAGGCATGCGGAGGGAGGGTGGGGGAGGAGGGGAAATAAAAGTGCACACGGTTAGACACACGAACGAGGTTCCAGGGGGTGCCCTCCCCCAACACAGGCAGCCCTGCTCCAGGGAGCAGGACCAGAGTGGGGTGTGATGAGCCACAAGGGTGAGAAGCTCCCCCAGAAGTGACCCGGCCCTCTGGCTTCCCCAGGGGCTTCCCCTCAGGTGCCTAGAGAGCCATGAAGCAGGCAGGGGTAGTGGGAAGCACCAAGCCCCTCCCACCCCTTTGAATCGCCCTCAAGCCCCAGGGCTCTGGGAAGGGGCAGCCCACTAAAACCCCGGACTGACCCAGAGCTGGGATAGGAACCCTGGACCAAGGCCTCTGACATCCCCGGCAGAGTCCCAGAGGCCGAGCTAGGGGTGGGGGCCGGCAAGGCAGGAGCAGTCTCTCTTCTGCTCCTCTGTCTCCACAGCCCGAGAGCAGCAAACCTTCTCTGAGGGTGACTCCTCAAGGTAGGAGAGCAAGGGTCAGGGGTCAAAGGTCCTCTTTCTAAACACAGTATGAACATTCTCTCCCAAAAGCAGGGAAGCTTATGGGGCACCAAGACGAGCTTTCTAAGGCTGGCTTTGTGGGACGCACCAGTCAGGGCAGGCTGAGTTTCCCCTTTCTCTCCCTCCTCACTTGCATGGCAGCCCACACCCTGGGCAGCACCCTCCAGGGCCCTGGGGCGGGGGCTGCACTAACAAAGCACAAGGGTGGGGCTCTCACCCGGTCAAAGTGGTTGAAGGAGGCCCGGAACTCATTCATCTGCTCCTGGCTGATGCCCTTGGCATCCCGGGTCAGGATCTGATTCTCCACCTCGTTGATGGTCCTGGCGATGGTGGTGAGCAGCTGCTCCCAGCCCACACGGATGTGCTACAGGCAGGTGAGGGGCCTGTCAGCAAAGGGGTCCCAGGCCTGGGCTCCTGGCGCTCCCTGCCCACCCTACTCCCCAACCATCAAAATGGCCAAATCCATCAAACTTGGCCTTCCATGTGGCTGAGTGTCACCAGAGGGAGGAGAACCAGGACAGGGACACTAGATGACCAAGGGGGCAGGGTGGTGGCCTCTGCCTGGGAGAGCAAAGAAACCAGGACTTGCCAATGGGAGTCAGGTCAGGAAGGAGGGCAGATTTGGGGGTAGGAGAGATTGACCCCAAAAAATGCTTGATTCCCTGAACCACCAACTCCCCCCACAAACACACACACAGTCTTTCACAGTTAAAACAAGCAGTCATTTTAAAAGCAGGTGCCTGAGCCGTTTTAGAGCCCAGCAGCACCCAGATTCTGAACTCCACCCCAGAACTAGTGAAGCAAACTCCAGAGATGGGGCCTAGAAATGTGCATTCTCAACACATTCCTCAGGAAAGCAGAAGATACTAAAAATTGAAGATGTGAAGCTTCAGGGTGAAGTGAGTTCATCCTCCAACTATGACCTGTTTCCTTGGAAACTTCCCCACCCAGGAGGAAGAGCAAAAGGGGAAACAGACTCCCCGAGAAGAACCAGGCCAGCCCCACCCACCTCCATGGTGTAGTTGGTGTGCTTGTTGTCGAAGATGAGCGCCTCCTGGATGAGCTGGTGGTCGCCCTCCAGCTGGTCAATCTTTGGCTTGTAGTTGACAATGCTCTTCTCATACTGCCGCAGGTGGCTGAGCTGGTCCTCCAGGGTCCCGTGCATCTCAATGGAGATCCTCCCGATCTCCTGCTCACCGGGAAGGAGGAACCTTGTCAGACCACCTCACTCTGCTCCCATAGGGTGGGATGGGAGCCTCCAAAATTTTTCCCTTGTTAAGCCCTCAGATGATGCTCAGTTCCTACCCCAGCCCGAAGGAGGCCATCACTAGTAATTAGTAAGACACTTTTTTTAAAAAAAAGATGGGGTTTCACCATGTTGGTCAGGCTGGTCTTGAACTCCCGACCTCAGGTGATCCACCCGCCTTGGCCTCCAAAGTGCTTGGATTACAGGTGCGAGCCACTTTTTAGCATGGGTGCTCCGAGGTATGGAAGCAGCACCACAGAGGTGTATAACAAGTGCTGTTAGCATTGGGTGAAGTACCTACCAGCTCTCAGGTACCTGTCAGCCTCAGGAGAGGGATACAGGGTCAGTCCTAACCTAAACATTCACTCCTCTGCTTGCTATTCAAACCCCTCTTCCCAAGTCTTGTCCATCTCAGGGACCCACTGAGCCAGGATCCTCGTAGCCTTGGTACAGCTCACTCACCTCAGTGCCCATGCTCGTGCTGTTCCACCTCCACCTTGCTGCCCTGGCCCACCTGAATCCCATCCGTCCCTGCAGGCCAGGCCTAATGCCTATTTCTGTCTGTTATTCATCCATGTAAACAACTCTTGTTTGTGAAAACACTTTCTCTCCACTCAATTCAATCCAGTAGGTATTTCCTGCCTGTCTACTAAGAACAATGTGCTGGCTGGCAGGGGTGCAGGGGCGGGGCGGGGGCGGGGGGCGACACACACAAATGTTAACTCGACATGGTCTCTGCCCTTAAACTCAGAGGCCATACTCAAGCCCAGTGGGGCCCTTTCCTGATCTGCTAAAAGCACCCACTATCTACCCCACACAATTCAGCAAAAAAATTTCTGTCCTCCACTGGGGTTCAGTTCTATTCCTGGGACGATCTACCAGGACAGATCATCTTTGGCCAAGCCCATTGCTCAGGAGGAGAAGGAAAGGAAGGGGAGGCCTGGTCAGTAAGAGACACGCAAGGGATTAGGCTGGATCAGGCACTCAGGAGCTGACCTTCCCAGGGGACTTTCATAGGCAGCAGCTGTGTTTTGTTTTGTTTTGTTTTGTTTTGTTTTTTTGAGACGAAGTCTAGCTCTGTCACCCAGGCTGGAGTGCAGTGGTATAATCTCAGCTCACTGTAACTTCCACCTCCCGGGTTCAAGTGATTCTCCTGCCTCAGCCTCCCAAATAGCTGGGATTACAGGCACACGCCACCACACCCAGCTGATTTTTTTATTTTTAGTAGAGACGAGGTTTTATCATGTTGGCCAGGCTGGTCTTGAACTCCTGACCTCAGTTGATCCACCCTCCTCAGCCTCCCACAGTACTGGGATTACAGGCATGGGCCACTCTGCCTGGCCCATAGGCAGCTTCTTAGTGGTGTCCTCATATACCTTTGCTCTCAAATTGGATATTGCCATCAGGGCCTCCTCACACAGGCCCCCACAGCCTTCTACGGGACAGCAGACCCCTGGTGGGCTCAAGGCCTCAGTCCTCCATGGGTCCCACCCAGGAAGACAGGCAGCCTGGCTGGCTGGGATAGTGTGGGGAGGGGTGGGAACCCTAGCACTGCTTCCCAGCATGGGACCCACCTCCATCTTGGTCTGGATCCAGGGCCCGATGACATTGGCCTGGGCCCCAAACTGCTTGCGTAGCCTCTCATTGTGCTGCTGGCGGGCGTGCTCCTCTGTCAGAGCCTGGTCCCTCCGAGGCACCAGCTGCCGCACCTGGGGCAGGAACAACAAGGCGATTCTGGGGATGGGTCAGCCATCTGTCCATGTGCCAGATGAGGAAATGGAGGACCCAGGAGGGGAAGGGCCGGTCAGTAACAACAGGAGTGAAGGTGTCAACCTGTTCTGGAAATCCAGTCATTGGCCAAACAATGAGTATTTACTATATGAGGATTTTAAATGAAATCGACAAAAATCAATTAAAATGGACAAAACTCCCTGCCTTTATGAAACTTACGATGGCTCGGCCCATGCCCTTCAACTCACGTGGTCCCATTTGCCATTGATCTCCTGAGGCGTGATGGTTGTGTAGGGATTGGTGCCCGCCATATTGACATGGTAGGTCTGGACAATCTTGGACACCTCGTTGTGGATGCCCAGGATGGCCAGGCGTTCCTTGTCGGCATCGGGGAGGGTAGCCTTGAATTGCTCATGGGCTGTGGTCAGTCCCTGGATAGAGATGGGGATATATGAGCAAGAAGAACAAAGGAGGAAGCCCCAGAAGTGGGTGGAAGGGCCTCAGAGATTGGGTTCCACACCAACTGGGAGACCAGGAGGCATCAATTCAAAGAGTCCTGTGGCTGAGAACTGGGATGGCAGGTATGGCCACAGGAAGCTGAAGCCACAGTCACCAAAAGCAGCAGCTTCATCCATGGAGGTGGTGAAATTGGCATCCATGGAGGTTGTGAAATTGGTGAACGCCCTCTGACCTGTTCACCACCTCACAGATCAGAGAGAAGGGCTGCTCCAGAGGCTCACTTCCCAGATGATCCCCCGAAACATGGGCTTCTTTAGCTTCTGGAAAAATCTTTTAAATCCAGTACTCTGCAGCCGCATGAAAGGTTGAGGAAGCTGCTAACTGATATGAAATGAGCTCCAAATAGACATTACATTAAAAATCAAAGTTCACAGCTGAGCACCGTGACTCATGCCTGTAATCCCAGCACATTGGGAGGCTGAAGGAGGAGGATCTCTTGAAGCCAGGAGTTTGAGACCAGCCTGGGCAACAAGGAAAAAACCCCCATTTCCACAAAAATGAAAATTTAAAAACTAGCCAGGAGTGATGACGTGAGCCTCTAGCCCCAGCTACTAGGGAAGCTGCAGCAGGAGGATCTCTTGAGCCCAGGAGTTGGAGGCTGTAGTGAGCCATGAGCCCACCACTGCACTCCAGCCTTGGTGACAAGGCGAGACCCTGTCTCTAAATGAAATAAATAAAAATCAAAGTTCAGAATAGGGCATACAGTAAAAGCTACTTTTTGTTTTATGCAAAAAGGGTACAAAGCATGGAAACAATCATATTTGCTTGTGTGTGGAGACTGTAATCAAATTCTTACCTTTGGGGAGAAAACTAGGGGCTGGAGGATGAGGAGTCAGAGGGAGACCCTATTGTATAACCTTTTAAAATTTTTTGATTTTAGACCATGCACATATATTATCTTGTCTAAATAAGTCAAATGCAAAGGTTTTGGGTCTATAAAATCCGGGATGCTCTTCCTAAATCCCCTACCTTACAGGGGCAGTCCTGCAAACGTGACCTGTAGAGCGTGGGCCAGAGACCCTGGGGAAGCCAGCCTCTGGGGAGTGGGGTGGGGCTCACCTGGATCTCCTCGATGGTATGCACAATGAAGGTGTCCTGCAGGTCCTCCATGGCCCCCTCCATCCAGTTGTTGAAGGGTGCGGCCCGCTTGGCATACTCCAAGTACAGCTGGTCAATGGTCTCCAGCAGCTTCTCAGTCCGCTGGGAGTGCCAAATAAAGTGGGGTTTAGTAGAGTGATGTCCAGAATCATTCCCCACTCCTATCGAGATCCTCCTGGTGAGCCCCAGGTCTAGAAGCACTGACTGAATCAGGCAGAAAGAACAGGCTCTTCGGGCCAGGTGTATGAACCATCTCACACTGCAGCCACCGGGCCTGGCTCCTAGAGTGTCTGGTGTACAGAATAGGAGGATTCTCAAATGGCTGGGGTTGGGCTGTGAAGCACACTGAACTGGGAGGATGAGACATGTGAGGGCAAGAGAGGAGGCATCGCCATCAGGGCAAAGTCCAAGACCTGTGCCAAGGTGCGTCTTCCACATTTGGGCCAGGACTAGGGGAGGTCTGGGGAACCCATACGGTCTTTTAGCCCAAAGCAAAGAGAGTCAAGAAGCAGGAAGGGGCACCACAGGGCTGCCGGATGCGGGCCTAGATCTCCCTCTGGGACCCCTCACCTCCAGAGCTTCCCTTCGCTTCTGAGTTAGGGCCCCCAGATTGTCCCACTGGTCACAGATCTTTTGGCAACGGGCGTTGACACTGGGTGAGTCATAATAGTCCAGCTCACTGGGGAGGGAAGAGACAAGGAAGTTGGGGATCCAGGTTAATTTCATGGCCCGTCTCCCTCTCCCTGGGGCTGCCAGTGGGGTGGCTGGTGGTGCTGGGAAGAGCCAGGGGCACTCCCTTCAGGAGACCTTCCAGGCACTCCTTCCACCCTTCCCCTCTTTCAGGAGACTGGCAGGGAAGAGACTAAAGAAGTCCCCTTCCCCAGTCATGGCTGAAGTGACCAGCCTTCACCCCAACGGCCAATGGCAGGGAGCCCTCGAGGCCCAATGAGAAAGCTCAGAACCAAGGCTTGCTCACCCTCTGCTCCTGTACTGGCTACAGGCAAGAACTGGTGGCCTTTCACAGGACAGCAGTGTCCTGGGCTCATTCCCCACCGGGAGAGATGTTCTTTGTTTCTGCATTGACTCCCTTCCCACCTGGGCACCCACCTGTGCCCACCCTCCCCACCTTTCAGGCCACACCCCCATGTCCCCCAGCATTTGAGAAAGCCCAGCCTCAGCCCCTCACCAGGGCACCACCGGGTGGGGGTGTCTGGGGCCACCTACTTGAGCTCCTGTGCGATGGCAGCGATCTGCTCCACGCGGTCCTGGTGGGCAGCCAGGTCACTCTCAAAGGCCTCATGCTTCTTGAGCAGGGCCTTGATCTCCGAGAGCGTGGCCGTCTCATAGTCCTTCTGTCGCAGCATGGCCTCTTTGCCTGGGTTGAGAGAGGGCCACATGGCTGAGCGAGAGTGAGAAGCATCTCCCCACCCCTCAGGGCCCCAGGAGCTTCTAGGGGTGCTTCCCCAGGAGATGCCCACTGTGCAGCGGTCTGCAGTGTGCAAAAGCAGATGTGCTGCTGGAACATCCAATTACGGCATGATGGAGAAAAGCACTGCTCCCCTCAGAGCACCTCCAAGGCCATGAAAGTGGCAACACAGGACAGCTGTGCAGGGTCTGTGGGAACGCGCAGGGCGCGGTGCCGCATACACAGCTGGAAACAGCCATCCACACCCTCTGGTACAACCACGAAAAAAGTGACCCAAGCACCTCAGGGGTTCCCAGCCTTTCGAATGTCCCCAGTTATTGTCGCTGGCTGCCAGCAGCCCTGCAGGGGCCCCTTCCCCTGGTCAGTGTGTCTGGTGCACTCTGCACCGAATCCGATGGTGCCTAGAGCCTTCTCTGACCCTCAGACACACTGCCCTCTCTCTGCAGGGCGCGAGCGGGTCTTGCTTTTCTTAAATTTGTTTCCACAGGGGGAAAGCAGGAACAAGAAATGACCTCCCAGGGCCGTTGTTAGAGGACGCTCACCAGCTGCCTCGCGAAGTTGACAGGCACAGGACCGGGGCTGGCCTGGCCTCCCTCCCTCACACACCCAACCCCCCGCTGCTGGGGTGCTCAGCCCCTCTCAGTGAATAAGGCTGGGCTGGGAGCCAAGGCTGTGTCCCCATGATTTCTTTCCTTCCCTCTACTCTTTATCAAGTTCAGAAAAAAGTTAGAGCTAAGCCTACTTAGCCACTTCTATTCAGTCTTTCCTTATGTGGTTATTCTGTGAAAGCTGTGGACATATATAAATTATGTTTTCTGCTTTTAAAATATGTAGCAGCACATTATTGGAATTTCTACCTTGGTTCCATAGTCTTCTCATGTAGACGTCTGCTGAGAGGCTGCATACCCACTGCCCTAACCCTTCACTGGCCTACTGTGGAGTGCTGGCTCCTCGGCTTGCCCTACTGTGGATGTCTCCACGTTGAGAGTGGATTCTTTTTCTTTCTTTTTGGGAGAGAGTCTCACCCTGTTGTCCAGGCTGAAGTACAATGGCGTGATCTCGGCTCATTGCAACCTCCACCTTCTGAGTTCAAGTGATTCTCCTGCCTCAGCCTCCCGAGTAGTTGGGATTACAGGTGCATGCCACCACACCCGACTAAATTTTTGTATCTTTAGTAGAGACGGGGTTTCACCATGTTAGCCAGGCTGGTCTCAAACTCTTGACCTTGTGATCTGCCTGCCTCGGCCTCCCAAAGTGCTGGGATTACAGGCGTGAGCCACCGCACCCAGCCCACGGTAGATTCCTTAGATAGTCTCAAGAAATGGTTAGAGTATGGTAAAATTGATAGGTGTGAATATATGTGGCCAAACTGCTTTCCCCAGAGGCTGTGCCAGCATGCCAGCACTTCTCTTGCCCCAGCTGGTGGCTGGCAAGCTGATGAGGTCAATCTTTGCTCCGTACTTTGGCTGTGAGCTGGATCCAATAGAAGCATGTGATGAATCAGTGCAATCCCCATGTTCCCTCTTCCACTCTGTCCCATCAACACCTGGATAAATAACTCCATACACTCGCAGTGAAAGTGGAGGCAGCAACCTCGTACCATTGTGTGCAAAGCCCAGCATTTGTACTTACAAAGGGGAGCTAGACCTAACCCACCTTAGCCAGTCTAGCACAGCTCCCAGCCCCTACACCACAGGTCCCCAACCCCTGGACCATAGACTGGTACCGGGGTCTGTGGCCTGTTAGGAACTGGGCCAAACAGCAGGAGGTGAGCCAGCAGGTGAGTGGGCATTACCACCTGAGCTCAGCCTCCTGTTGGGTCGGTGCGGTGTTAGATTCTCACAGGAGCTCAAACCCTGTTGTGAACTGCACATGAGAGGGATCTAGGTTGTGTGTTTCTTAGGAGAATCTAACTAATGCCTGATGATCTGGGGTGGAACAGTCATCCTGAAACCATCTGCCTCCTCCCTTCTCCATGGAAAAAATTATCTTCCACAAAACTTGTCCCTGGTGCCAAAGAGGCTGGGGACTGCTGTCCTACACCAAGCCAAGCCACTCTCAAGTGGCCTTGGGGTACGGCTCCTCCTTCTCATCTCCAGCCTAAGGTCTGAGGAGTACAAAACAGGGCTGAATGGGGGTGTCTTAAGGCCCTGAGCTCTGCCGGCCAATGGGTCTGCCCCAGACTCCAGCTGAAACGGCCAGAGGGGCCCCAGCAGATGGGCAGTCTATTCCCTACCTCCAGCCCTGGCCCAGGTTCTGGGGAAAATACTGTCCTAGGTATGATCCTCTCTCTTCAGAGTTAACGCTAGCTGCCAATAAGACCACACCAGACGTGGCCCCAAGAGCCTCAAGGTGGGAGTAACAGGGACACACATATGCCAAGGCAAACGCTCTGATTCACTGTAACTGGAGAATAGGAAATAGAGGAAAGGGAACTGAACAGACAAAAAACATAAGCATGTAATCTACTAGAATACAAGCCTCACAACAACCCTATGAGGAGGCTTGTTCGGCTGAATTAGGTCGAATGGGGTCTCCTAGAAAACTCATGTCAACCCAGAACCTCAAAATGCGACCTTATTTGGAAATAGGGTCTTTGCAGACAAATTCCTAAAGATGACATTATACGGCTGGGCGCAGGGGCTCACACCTGGAATCCCAGCACTTTGGGAGGCCAAAGGCGGGTAGATCTCCTGAGGTCAGGAGTTTGAGACCAGCCTGACCAACATGGTGAAACTAAAAATACAAAAATTAGCTGGGCCTGGTGGTGGGCGCCTGTAATTCCAGCTACTTGGGAGGCTGAGGTAGGAGAATCACTTGAACATGGGAGATGGAGGTTGCAGTGAGCTGAGATCGTACCACTGCACTCCAGCCTGGGGGACAGAGTGAGATTGTGAGACTGCCTCAAAAAACAAAAAAGTTGACATTATACTGGAGTAGGGTGCACCCTAAATTCAATGATCAAGAAAATGAGATTCCGTTACAGAGACACAGAGAGAAGCAGCCACGTGAAGAAGGAAGAGGCTGGAGAGGTGCAGCTACCAGTCACCGAACACCAGGAGCCGCTAGGAGGCAGCACGGAACGGTCCCTCCCTTAGCGCCACAGGAGCCTATCCTGCCGACACCTCAGTTCAGGACTTCCGGCCTCCGAACTGTGAAGAATACACTTCCGTTGTTTCAAGCCACCATGTTTGTGGTAACTTGTTTCAGAAGCCCTAGAAACACAGGAGGGCATAGCATCCTCCGCACTTGACAGATGAGGAGACTGAGGCCTGGGGTGAGGTCATCAGTCCACATCACACTGCTCCTAAGGGGCACAGTCAGGGCTCCAACCCAACCTGACTCACTCCAGGAGGAAGACTCAATTAAGGTGAAAAGAACAATTCAATGTCAACACCCAGGGCCAGACACAGTGGCTCACGTCTGTAATCCTAGCGCTTTGGGAGGCCAAGGTGGGCGGATCACCTAAGGTCAGGAGTTTGAGACCAGCCTGGCCAACGTGGTGAAACCCCATCTCTAGGGGCATAATGGCATGTATCTGTAGTCCCAGCTACTAGGGAGGCTGGGGCAGGAGAATCTCTTGAACCCAGGAAGCAGAGGTTGCAGTGAGCCGACATCTCACCAACTGCATTCTAGCCTGGGCAATAAGAGCAAAACTCTGTCTCAAAACTGCCCCCCTCAAAAAAAAAAAAACAAAGTGACAGTCTGGGGGTATAGCCCGGGGGTAGAGCATTTGACGGAAATGTGAACACTTACACAGCACTGTGCTGTGCAGGAACTCTCCTCGGAACTTCATATGTGTTCACTGATTCAATTCCTATAAGCCTGTGAGGTTGGTACTATTGTTATCCCCACTTTACAGATGAGGAAGCTGAGGCGACCAGAAGGCTAATGAATTTGTCTAACGCCACAGAACTAGTAAGAGGCCAAATGAAACAAACAAAAAGCAAAGAAGAATGGTGTAGCGGCTGCTGGCTAGGCTGGGGAGTAGGAAAGTGAAGCCCTGGGGAGCCAGGAGGCTGGGCTGGCCTCACCGTCCGTCCAGGCCTCGTGGATGGAGGCCTTCTGCCGGAACTTCTCTGCCAGGTGGTCCAGCCGCTCCAGCCTCCGGATCTCGTTCAGCAGCCACTCCTCGTAGCCCTTCTCCACCTGCTCCAGGCAGCCCCAGGCATTGTTGATATCCTGTGGGGACGTGAGGTACAGGATCAGGCGCTGGCTCGGGCCTAGCTTCAGCTCCCCTGACCCCCTGAACCCCTGAAGGTGCCCCATGGCTTCCAGGAAGAGCCTCTTCCCTATCTCTGCCCCATATCCACCAGCCAGGCTGCCCCACCCTCCCTCCCATTGGTATTTTCTGGGCTCCCAGGTGGCAGGCCTCCTGGCAATGCATGGGACTTGCATCTACATTGGTCACCTAGCCATGGAACTTTGAGAATAGAGCCTGTGGGAAGAGTCCCAGGCTCTCCCTGACTAGGACTGGTTTCCGACAGGACTCTAACCGATCACAGGGGTCACACATGTGCCAAGGCAAAGGGCCCCCCAGGTAAACAGAGCAACACTGAATGAGGCAAGCAGGCACTGGAGCTGCCCAGCCTCCCCAGGGTCCTGGATCCATTCATGGACTTAGGCCTCTGGGCAGTAGCCTGGAGCCTGCTTGGACCCCAGCCAGGGCGAGCCGGCCAGAATTCTGGGAGGACAGATGCTGAGTGCAAACCCATACGCCCCTTCAGACAGGGCCACACCTCCAGTTTGTGCAAGGGTGCTCGGCTGGGCAGTCACTGGGGCTGCACCCTGCAAGCCACCATCTCCTCCACATGCCCCCAGGCCAAGCCACATCCCCAGGAAGGGCACTTTGTCCAATGCTCATAGAGCACCGTTAGGCTAGCAGTGGCTCTGGCCACCTAAAATCTACTGGTTCAGCCTTTGAGCCCAAAAGTGACTGCAATTTCCCAAACTGTATATACACTTGCAATGTTTTCTCCCTCGACCCCCTGGGCTGCTCTCTCCCCGCAATGCTGTCTGGCTTTCACCCTCCCTTCTAGACCTGCTGTGTGCCCAGGACGCTCCTATTACTCTTCACCTAAGGTCAAATGCTCTGTCATGGCAAATTTGTTACATTTTCTTATGTGTGTTTCTCCGGCTTATGAAATTTTTCCCTAAATTGTGGGGACAGGGTAAAAAGGGATGAATTTTTAAAAATAACCTAGAAGAAGAGTATTGGCCCGGTGCAGTGGCTCACGCCTGTAATCCCTGCACTTTGGGAGGCTGAGGCGGGCGGATCACAAGGTCAGGAGATCGAGGCCATCCTGACCAACATGATGAAACCTCATCTCTACCAAAAATACAAAAATTAGCTGGGCGTGGTGGTGTGCGCCTGTAGTCCCAGCTACTTGGGAGGCTGAGGCAGGAGAATCACTTGAACCCAAGAGGCAGAGATTGCAGGGAGCAGAGATTGCACCACTGTGCTCCAGCCTGTCGTCAGTGAGACTCCATCTTAAAAAAAGAAAAAAAAAAAAAAAATGGAAGGGCATTTTATGACATGGAAAGCTGGTCATAATATAATCTTAGGTTTGGTTAGCTTATTATATATAAAACATGATTTAGTTAAATTTAACAGATGAGTACAAAAATGGGGAAATGGACACTTGAGTATAAAAATGGGAAAAAATGTTTAATTTCAAATATGTATGCTTTAGGATTCCCTCAAATATTTACACAAAAAAACCCAAAAAGATTAAAATTGTTTTTCAAAATTGATACTGGGTAAGATTTTCAGTAATTTCCATGTTTCCTATTTTGCTTATTTGTATCTTCGAAATACACTACCCCCCCAAACCCACAAAACTATTACTTAAGTAATAATTTTCTTAACTACTTAAGATTCCACGAAAGTAGAAATCACCTTTTCTGTGATTCAATTATGCCGTTTGGATCAGGGTGTCAAAAGGCATTGTGTTTACAGGGATGGTTTTTTTTGCGAGAGGGGGTCTGGTGGTTCTGGGGTGGTTTGGGGTAGATGTTCAGGGGTCTGTCTAGAAGGGCCAGCCTGGCCCAGAGCAATCTGGTCAGAGGGGGCTGCCCTACATGGTTGAGTTTGGGCTTGAGCCTGAGTGGTAACTGGAAGGGGGAAGTGACTTCTGGAGCAGTGTATGTAGGTGGAAGCAAACACATCATCCCCCCCCCCCGCCATGATGCTGCATTTGACCACGACTAGGAGCAGCTCAGAGGTGGAGGCCGTCCAGTCTGGGGGCCCAGGATCACCCCCAGTACTCACCGAGACCATCCTGCCCTCGGAGGGCATGAAGGCGGGCCGGTTGCTCAGCCGCAGCTTGGTCTGCAGTGTGTTGAAGTTGATCTCCAGCTGGCACTTCTCTTGCACCTTGGGAGGCTTGTGCAGGCGCCGGTAGTCCCGGAAGTCCTCCAGCTTCTGCTGCATGGCGTGCATGGTGTTCTCGGGCACCCGGTTCTCTAGCCATGGGATGGTGCGGCGGATCCACTCTAACAGCTAGGGAGGGGAGGCGGTGGGGGCTGGGGGTGAGGCTGCAGGGAGGGAGAGTGCTCGGGCCAGCTTCCCTCTCCTCCCAGCAGCCCTTCCCACATGGAGAAGGGGTCTCTCCAGATGGCACACTCCTTCCCAGCTACCGTCCTACAGCATTCCCAGGCCGTGAAGCCAGGCTGCCGGGTGTTCCCTCTGAGAATCATAGGCTTTGTGAAGCCTGGCTGCTAGGGTACATCAGCTCACAGTCACGCCCCTCAACCTCCCTGCTTTGCTAAGGGAAGACCCACAGACCTGGTGGGAAGACAGTGCCTCTAAAAGGTGGGAAGGAGACCTGGATTTTGGTACCAGATCCTAAATGGCTGGGCCTCAGTTTCTATACCAGGGAGGGGGCTAACAGCTGTTTCCAGAGGTCCTTGCCATCTGACTTCCTAGGAATCTAGAATGTGGGTCTCTGACTTAAAAGGGAACAGGCTGGCTTCTGGGCAGAGAGCTGGCCTGAAGCACGAGCAGGCATGGCCTGGACTGTTTTCCTTGAGCCAAGATGATGGTGGTGGAGAAGGTGGAGGAGTACACATGGCAACAGGAAATACACTGAACCTGTGGGGGCCAGCACACCACACACATGGACTCCTCTGAGTCATCACAGAAACACTACGGGGCTAAGGGCTGTGATCACCCGCATGTTACAGAGGAGGCAACCAAGGCACTACCAGGTCCTGTAACTTGCCAAGATGACCCAACTGGAATGGCAAAGCAAAGCAGAAATTGAAACCCAGGCACTTGGGCTCCAGAACCTGGGTTCTTACTATGCTGGGCAGCAGACCCACCAAGAGGCTGGGCAGAGCAGCTCAAAGGGCCGAATTCTTTCAAGAAGAGGAGGCTTCGCCCAAATGTAGCCAATAGCAGAATAGGAAACCCAGAACTGTGCGATCCTGTCCCTTGAAAAGTAGGGGACAGCCACTACCTTTTGGTAGCTGCTATGCTAGCCTGAGCCAGCACTAATTTACCACAAACCCTTCCCTCTCAGAACCAGATGTGTTCCTTTTCTTACTGAAGCAAAAACTCACAGACTAAGAGTAAACCAGGCTGGAGAGAGTTTTAACATCCCCTGGCTCAGCTCTCACTTGACAAGTGGGGGAAAAAAAGAAAAAAAAAAAAAAGACCCTGAAAGGTGAAGGGCTATCCTAGGCTCACTATAGCCCAGGGACTGGCTTCTGCCCCCACCTCACTGCTTTCTGAGAGCACAGCAGAGCTCAGGCTGCCCGGGACAAGCTATATTGGGATCACAGACTGTGCCAGGCTGGGATTATGCTCCAAGGAAAGAATTGGAGGTACAAGTTCTGGAGGACCGACTCTTGCTAGAGTCAGGCCAGGTGAACCCAGGGGTACCCACATCACTGGCCAGCTTCTCGTAGTCTTCCATAAGCTGCTCGTTCTCCTGGTTGACGGCCAACACCTTGCAGATGCGATTGGCTGCTGTCTCCGCCTGGCAACAAGACAGACAGAGTCACAACCAGCCAGCCCCAGCAGCAGGGGACCTGGTGCACACCTGTGCTGACAAAGCCCCTCCTGCCCCTGCAGCTCCTGGTGGTTGGAAGGGAATTCCGAAGGCTGTGAGGTCACATTTCTCCTCTCTCCTTACCATTTCCTTGCCAGCCCATGGCCAGGTCCCACATGTCAGGTGAGCCTGGTCAGAGGTCTTGGTGGCTGAACTGGGCCCCTGGAGAACAGCCTGAGTTTAAGGCCCATCGTGCATGTTGAGAAGAAGCTAATCCAATGACTGATATAATCAAAACACTCAGGTCAGGTGGAGAGGTGAGGAAATTCATGCCCATCCTGGAATTCCAAGCGGAGGCACTGGAATTGCAAGGCTTAGGACCTCAGTCTGGATTTTCCAGGATCTTAGAGATGTGGGAATTCAAATCTAGGAGTCCTGGGATAAAGTGCTGACTGAGAAGTTGTGGGGCCCCTCAGGATCTCTGCAGAATATCCCAAGGGCCTTGGCCCGAAGCCTGAAGCACTTTAAAGAAAACTGACAGACCCTCTACTGCACCAAAGTCCAGACTTCAGGATCAACCAAGTACGGGCACAATGCCCAGCGCCCAGCACAGGCCCCATCTGGGACAGCGAAGCACACATCGTGCACTGTGTTCTGGGCTAGCAGGAACCCACGATGGGCCTCAGCAGCAAAGGAACCAATGAGGACTGAATGGCAATCCAAGGCAAAGACCAAGAAACCCTAGGGGAGAGCGCCTTCTGCAGCTGTGGGGGCTACTGTACCCCCAACACCAGCAGGGACCCAGCACTCCTAAGTCCACTTCGATGGGTGGTTTTCAAATCCAGCTGTGTTCTTGCGCACATTCCAACTCTACACCAAGGGAAGTGAACTCAAAGCCTTTTGGGGGCCACAGGGCAGAACGGAAGAAAGCCTGGGGTTTGGAGAAGATGGTACCTGTGAGAAGACAGACTGGCATCCTGGGACCCTGGAGAAGGGTGCCCTGTAGATGAAAAATGATCCCTGGATTAAGGGGTCGAAAGACAGGACCTCACAACTGGTTGATGAACAAGACAAACTAGGTTTCAGCTGCAGCACAATGAACTGATGCTGGTCATAAGGAAGAGCTTCCTGAGGATGAACATGCTTAGAATTGGAAGGAATTACTAAGATGGGAGATGTAAATGTTTTTTCCTTGAAGAACTTCTCAAATAAGACATGCGCCCACCAAATCATGTGCTTTGTGGATGACTGTGCTGGGTGCGTGGGGGCAGGGGGCAAAGGGCAGAATGAGATCATCCCAAGGGCCCTGTCAGAAACACAGTCAAGGTCAAGGGAGGCATGCCCTGCAGAGCGAGGTGTCATAGTGGGTGGGAGAACCAATAACGAGAAGGTGGGAATGGCTAGAGGGTGGTCTAAGAGTCCCCTGAGGTAGGGACTTTGAGTCCCAAGTCCCAAGAAACTGAGACATCCTGGCAGGGCACAGTGGCTCATGCTTATAATCCCAGCACTTTGGGAGGCTGAGGTGAGCAAATCACAAGGTCAGGAGTTCAAGACCAACCTGACCAACATGGTGAAAGCCCATCTCTATTAAAAATACAAAAATTAGCCAGCATGGTAGCGCGCACCTATAATCCCAGCTACTCAGGAGGCTGAGGCAGGAAAATCGCTTGATCCTGGGAGGCAGAGATTGCAGTGAGCCAAGATCATGCCACTGCATTCCAGACTGATAGACCGAGACCCTGTCTCAAAAAGAAAAAAAAAAAAAAAAAAAGAAACTGAGACATCCTTAGGCCCTCATCCCTTGCCCCCAACTCAACCCTGTTCTAGAGATCTCATGGTTGCTTCTCACCCACAAGTCCTGACTGACTGCCATTTCTCTCGAGAACCAACAGGCACCCACGGGGAGTCCAAAGAAGCAATGAAAAGGGAAATGCTTCTCCTGGAGCCTGTCCAGCAGACGTGGAGCCCCAGAAAGCTAGCAGGGCCATGGGAACCGCGGGGCCATGGGATCCGGGCCAGCAGCCTCACGGGGCTGGCTGGGGAGCAACTTGCTGGAAGCCCCAGCCTACTTCCCTTGAGGGCTGAGGCAGGGGGCTGCAGAGAGACCTCGTGTCCTCCTCCAGGCTGACGTTTTTGTGAGGATGTGCCACCGCTGAGGACTATACCAGAGACGTGCCACTCAAACAGCTGAAACTCCTTGGCAGTGACTCGTCATGGCACGAAGCAGCTGCAGCTGTGATGTTCATGGATGAATCTCCCTTCACCTTGTTACTCTCTGGATCCATCAGCTCAGTGATCATAAACTCTGATGTTGCCAATTTATCAAACTGGTGGACCGAGGTCTGCGTTGGTGGGATTTTACGTGTGTCCTGTGGGGCTTCGAGAGCCTTGCCCATCCCCAAGAGCCTGCTACTTCAGGGTCAAAAGGGCTCCCTTCTGGATGAAGTCTGGGGGAGATTCCGGGTAGGTTTCCTGGGGACTTTCCGTAAAGATCCAACCGCCTTCCCAAGCTTGAGTCTCAACCACCTGCTCCTAGGCTGGCCTCCCCAGAAGGAGAGTGACTGAGAATACCATCTATATACAGCAGACCAGCCTTCAGAAATCACACCCAAGTACCATGGGAGGCCCTAGAGTGCTTTCTGTATGGCAAGCTAGCCTGCAGACGCCACTGGGGGTCCCTTGAGGGACAGCCCAGCTCCCACAGTCCCTCTGGCCAGCAGGTTCCTGGAGTCCAGATTTGAGTTTTCTATAACAAACCACAGCAGAATTTTCAGAACCTCGTCACCCTCTTTCTCTCGCAGCCTGACTTGCCCTGACAAGCAGGCTGCACCCTGGAAGAAGCCCATTGGGTGGTGGGGTTGGACCTGCTTCCACAGCGGTCCCTTGATGAAGGTGGCTTCATCACCCATCAGCCTCAGCCCGAGAAGTAAGATGAGGTCAGGTGGGAAGGCCAGGCTTAGTCAGGCCCGCGGGACGTAATCCCAGGAGTGGAAGGAAAGACTGTTGGGGGTGACAGATGGGCCTTCCCCATCACCCCAAATTCCTGGTTTTCTAGCTGTTTCCTCTCATGGCTACAAGAACCCCATGAACTCTGAAGCATCTGGGAGAGAGGCACCCAGAACTGCCGAGTACATAAAGAATCTCAAAGACACTGCTTTAGTGCAGAAGTTTAAAGGAGAGATTTATTCTAGGGGAGGAAATATTCCTTCCCCGAGAACCTCAGGGAAGAACTGAAACAGCTTCAGAAGCAACTTCAGAAGAGAAGCCTGGGAGAGCCCTGGCTTCAGGCTGTTCCTGAAGAGGAGATGGGCCGCTCTGGACCCCAGCAAGAAGAATCAGATGCCCTGACATGAGATACTGTGACAGATGCAACAGATAATTGATGGGTGGAGAAAATATTCTCTGGAAATGAGCAAAATGTTACTTCCAAGGGCAAAGGAGAAGACTACTAGAAATCTGTGTTTCCTGTCCCTTTATATTTTCATGGCTTTTGTTTCTTTCTTTTTTGAGACAGAGTCTCATTCTGCCATCCAGGCTGGAGTGCGATTGTGCGATCTCAGCTCACTGCAACCTCCACCTCCCAGGTTCAAGCGATTCTCCTGCATCAGCCTCCCAAGTAGCTGGGATTATAGGTGTGCACCACCACATCTGGCTAATTTCTGTATTTTTTAGTAGCGATGACATTTCACTGTGTTGGCCAGCTGGTCTCCTGACCTCAGGTAATCCACCAGCCTCGGCCTCCCAAAGTGCTGGGATTATAGGCATAGCCACTGCACCCAGCGCAAATTTTCATGTTTTTTATGACCTACTTTAAGCTGCACTATTATACAACTTAATGTACAATACGCTTTGTTGTATATCAAGAGTTATTTTCAGATATGAACTATTATTATGCCTGGAGTACTTAGCTATCCCAGGTCAAACTGTTACCCTAATAATCAGCATCCAATTGCCCAGTACCGGCACCATCTAGAGAGGAACTGTCCCCAAGGTAACATCAAAACACTCAAATGTGGCCAGATGACATGCTGTGACTCCACTACCCACAACCCACAGATTCACGTGAATGCCACAAGGATCTCCTCTATGTCTTCTTTAGCCAAAAACGTTCCCAAATCCAGCTGGACCTGCTCATTTTCTTCTTCCCACAGCTGTCCACTGCCCAGTCTTCCCCTCTGTCCTGAGTTAGCCATCAAGCCCAGGGTTCCTGCTAAGAGAGCCCCAAATCATCAGGGATCTCAGACCAGCCAGCCGAGCTTTCTCATGGTGGGCGGGCAGGGGTGGGTGGCCAGGCAGAGGGGAACGGGCCCCTCTCCTCAGACAGCTCACACCTTGCCAACTTCCTCTCCTACCGCAGGCGCAAGCTGCGGCCGCCTCCCTCCACAACACTGTCTGCCCCTTCCCAAGCCTTTGCTAAGCCCTCCTCCCATGGACCCTCTTGTCAGGTTTCTGCTGCTCGAGAAAACCTTGGTGGCCTGTAGTCCTGTGGCGGCACCCGCCCTGCTCAGGTCTGGGGCAGGCAGAGCAGCGCACAGGTCAGACTGAAGCCACTGCCGGCTCCTTGATTTACAGTTTGCCCAGATGGCTCATGACATTGTCTCAGATCGAGTCCATGCCATCAAGTATTATTTCTCAGAAACAGCAGACCATCAACTCTAAAACATGAGCTACATACACAAAATCTTCATGCTCTCCACCCATTCTAAGTCCCTGTAAGGGAAGAGGAAGGGAGAGGAAAGCAGAGGAAGCATTAGAACCAAAACCCACCTGTCAAACAGCGGCTGGTCCTCATCGAATGAGGGCAATCAGTACACAGACTCACACAGCATGTACCTGCACAGGCCCAGGAGCTGTGCACCACGTGCACACGCATTAGGCGCCGCAGCCTTTCTGTTCCACCGCACGAGGTTGGGTGACAGAAAGACAGGAGAGGATGGAGGGCACCGTGCGTGGGTTTTGGAAGATTCCCCATCAGTGCCAGCCCGGAGACAGACAAGACAGGAGTGTGAGTCAGGAGGAGTCCTCCTCTTCCATCCGCCCCACCACACAAGGCGAGACGGGGGCTCCCCAAATCCTGCTCAGCTCCAGGCAATTGCCTTAGACATGGTGGGGGCAACTCTGGGTCAGACCCCTGACCAGGACATGAGAGGACGACCACCACCACCACCACCAACCCAGCTGTGACCTTGCCCTCAGGTGTGGACAAAAGCAGCGTGAAATGGTTGCAACAGGGATGAGTGAAAGGGAGGAGGGCATGGGAAGGAGGGGCATGAGATTTGGGAGGGGGAGCCGGCTGTCACCCACACCCCACATACAACCCTCACGCACACCACTCCCCTTCACACCACACACACACCACACGCCACATCTCACACCACACACACCCCACTCTACACCTCACACCCACAGCACACCACACACACCCCACTCTACAGTTCACACCCACAGCACACCACACCCCCCACACTCTATACCTCACACCCACAGCACACCACACACACACCCTACTCTACACTTCACACCCACAGCACACCACACACACTCCCCACACTCTATACCTCACACCCACAGCACACCACACACACTCCCCACACTCTATACCTCACACCCACAGCACACCACACACACACTCTACTCTACACTTCACACCCACAGCACACCACACACACACCCCACTCTACAGTTCACACCCACAGCACACCAAACACACCCCCACTCTACAGTTCACACCCACAGCACACCACACCCCCCACACTCTATACCTCACACCCACAGCACACCACACACACACCCTACTCTACACTTCACACCCACAGCACACCACACACACACCCCACTCTACACTTCACACCCACAGCACACCACACACACACCCCACTCTACACTTCACACTCACAGCACACCACACACACCCCCACTCTATAGCTCACACCCACAGCACACCACACACCCCCACTCTACACCTCACACCCACAGCACACCACACACACTCCCCACACTCTATACCTCACACCCACAGCACACCACACACACACCCCACTCTACACTTCACACCCACAGCACACCACACACTCTCCACACTCTATACCTCACACCCACAGCACACCACACACACACCCCACTCTACACCTCACACCCACAGCACACCACACACACCCCACTCTACACCTCACACCCACAGCACACCACACACACACCCCACTCTACACCTCACACCCACAGCACACCACACACACACCCCACTCTACACCTCACACCCACAGCACACCACACACACCCCACACTCTATAGCTCACACCCACAGCACACCACACACACACCCCACTCTACACCTCACACCCACACCCCACTCTACACTTCACACCCACAGCACACCACACACACACCCCACACTCTATAGCTCACACCCACAGCACACCACACACACACCCCACTCTACACCTCACACCCACAGCATACCACACACACACCCCACTCTACACCTCACACCCACAGTACACCACACACACACCCCACACTCTATACCTCACACCCACAGCATACCACACACACCCCACACTCTACACTTCACACCCACAGCATACCACACACACCCCACACTCCACACCTCACACTCACAGCACACCACACCCCTCATACTCCACACACCCCACACGACACACCCACAGCACTCCCCCTCACAGCACACACACCACACGCCACACCTCACACCCACAGCACACCACACACACACCCCACACTCTACACCTCACACCCACAGCGCACCACACCCTCCACACCACACACACCACACACAACTCACACCACACCTCACACTCTATACCTCACACCCACAGCACACCCCTCCACACCACACACACGTACCACACACACAACTCACATCATTCATGACACACCAGTTCCCAGACCCCACACACCTCATATACACATACCCCACACACCACAACCTTCCACACCATTCCCAAACCTCATGCATGCACACCTCCTACACAACACACACACAACAGAGTCCACACAACCATACTCCCTTCACACACACACCACCACATCCAACCATACACACACCACACCTCACACATCCACCCCATACCCACATACCCACACCCCCATACCAGGCATCTCACCCACCACACCCTCCACCCCACACTTACCTCAAACCATACATGCCTCAGAACCCCAGACCCATACACGCCATGCACACCCTCACACCCATTTCACCCACACACATCTCACACTCCCTTCCAAGCTTTGTCACCAGCCAGGACACAGAGAAGGCTTCAGAGACAGGGAAGGCCAGCGTGGTTGGGCATGAAGCCCAGGACAGATCCCTGAAGAGAAGGAGAGAGGGTGGAAGAGGAGGAAGGGGCTTTGGGAAGAGGGAGAGCCCACAGCAGAGCTCAGCCTCGCCGTGGACACCGGCAGGTGCTTGCCTGTGGCTATCAGGCTGGAGGCCAATCAAGGCAAGGGAGAGAAGCTGCTCACGCTCAGCTGCGAGGGGCCAGGGAGGCCACAGGAAGAGCAGCCGGAGAGGTGGGAAGGACAAAGAGGACATGGAAGGAAGGCCAGAGGAGGGGCTGAGAGGGGCTGGCAGGCTGGGGGCACACCTATGAGAAGAAGCCTCCAGACGGGTCTGCTCTCCTGTCTCTGGCCCGCACCAGTGAGCCCTGGAAGGAAGGTCAGGAGGGTCTTGGGCATCCAACCAGGCAGGGAACAGGGCTGCTGCCAGCCCATATGGTGTCTCTGGATCATTTTTAGCCTCTTCCCCAGGGCACTTCTACTGGGAATATGTCCTACTGATTTTGTTAGAAGACATTGTCACTGCCATCTACAGGATCGATTAGTAATCAATATTCAAATCTCCATCGACCACCGCACACACGTGGCACTCGTGTGCAGTCTGCAACCTGCACAACTATCCATGGCAGCTTGGATGGGAAGCATCAGGCAGGGCTCTGGCCTGGACACCCTGGAGAAGGCAGGAAGACTTCTCCCTGCTCTGGCTGCTGGCTCAATTTGCGAGGATGGCCTTGCTCAAGCAGGAAGGAGGGAGAGAGAGGGTGTGAAGAGATCCTGGATTTTTAAGGAAATAGCACCGCCAAGATCTGTGCTGCCTGGAATAAGGACTCTGGATGCGGGGTGCAGGGAAGAAGCTGAGACCACAAGCTTCTTTCCCGCTTGTGGTATCCGCTATGCCCAGGGCATAGGGACAGAGACATGGGAGGTCATTCAGAGGCTGGGGTTCTCTGGCGTCTTCAAGGGTCCTGGCCAAAGTTCAGAATCCTGTCCCCCTGCAAGAGGAGGAGGGGCTTCTCTAGTCCCTCCTTCCGTCCCAGGGCCTGCTGCTGGGGTGTCCAGGGAGGACGGAAGAGGCGGGCAAGAGCGGAGAGTGGAGGAGGCCGAGGGAGAGCTCACCTTCTGCGCACCCGAGAAGGCGTGGCCGTGACATGAAACATTAGGTCACACGGCCTTCCCATCCGGCCTTAGCGTGCCTACACATCTGCACAGAGAAGGAGAAGAGGTTGAGAGGACAAAGTAGGCAGCGGCAGCAGCACAGCATAAACCCAAACAGCCACAGTGGACGGAGAGGACATAGACAGACACACAGACAGAAAAAGAGGGAATGAGCGGAAAGAGAACAAATGAGACAGTCGGGGAGGAAGGGAGGGGGTGGGAGGTGAGCGGAGTCTGAGGCAGGGACGGCACAGGGGAGGGAGGAGAGGGCGGGGCTCCCATCATGCATTTGTTTTGTTTTGTTTTGTTTTTGAGACAGTCTCATGCTGTCACCCAGGCTGGAGTGCAGTGACACAATCTCCGCTCGCTGCAACCTCCACCTCCTGGGTTCAAGCGATTCTCCAGCCTCAGCCTCCCAAGTAGCTGGGATTACAGGCATGCACCACCACGCCCAGCTGATTTTTGTATTTTTAGTAGAGACGGGTTTTCACCATGTTGGCCAGGCTGGTCTCGAACTCCTGACCTCAAGTGATCTGCCCGCCTCGGCCTCCCAAAGTGCTGAGATTACAGACGTGAGGCACCACGCTCGGCCCCATCAAGTATCTTAAGACAGTCACTCAGACGCTATGCAGAAGGCAGGAGATCTACATGAGACGTGAAGGTTCTGTGTTCATGGCGCGGTTGTGCTGCTTCTGGGGTCCTGCCTGCCAGGGAAGTCTGGGGGAGGGGTGTCTGCTGCCTAAGGCTGGTGATGAAAATGTTCAAATCTTCAATGTCCGCAGCATCAACAGTGCCCTGTAGTCGTGGTACCCTTGTGTGGTGCGGAACCTGCACTTTAACCTCAGGCCTCCCGGAGCAAAACTGGGCCAGGACACTTGCAGGGGCTCCCAGCTGCCCACCCACTCTCCCTTCCACAGGTGCTGCTTATGTCTGAGAAGAGAGCGCAGCATGACCGCAGGTGAGTCCCCGGCAGGATACAGGAGAAGGCACCGGAGCCCAAAGGTGCTGAGGACAGATCTAAGTCATGCTCGTGAGCAGGAGAAAGGTGGGGCTTTGTGATGCCTTTGCCAAGTGGGTAAGTGAAAACAGGAGGTGGCCTCCAGCATTGGCTCTCTAAGATAACCCCAGCTGCTCTGTCAAGCCAGGGGCTTCAACAGAGGTGGGCACAGAAGGGCTGCTCCTGCTCACCTTCCAGTAGCCCAGAACCACCCGGGCTGCCGCATGCACACAGCCCTTCCTGCTTAAGCCAGTCATCTGGGTCCTAGAAGGGGAGCTGCTGCCCAATTTTCTTGTTCCCAGTAGAAGATGAGAGAGGGAGATGGGTGGGAGAGGAGCCGGGTAAGAACAACACGCCACTTCAGAACCAGGGGCTGCCTCTGTCCAAGAGACCAGACCATCCAGGTACCTGTCACCAGGAGAGGCGGAGCAGGCAGGAGGGCATGGTTTGGGGTCCAGCAGGAGGTGTGCTGGGCATGGAAGGAGCAGGGGGCCCCGGGTACCTTCTGGGCTCCAGAGAAGGCGTGGTAGAAGCTAGACACGTAAGTCATGATGGCTTTCTCATCCGGTCGGGCAGTTCCAACGATGTCTGTCAAGAAAAATGTAGAGTTAAAGCCAGCTGGTTCCAAGAACACCACACACCCCCAATGTGATGTAGAAAGCAGCTCACAGCACCACCAAGTCTTCTTGCCAAAATGTTGAGCCCGAATCTAACCAGCCTCTGGTGTCAGCTTCCACTTATGGAAATGTAAGTAGAGGAACACGTGTGTGAAATGCAGCCCCAGTGAGGCAGACAAACCCAGGGTAAGGAATTTTCTACAGGATAGCAGGCCCGTTCCTGCCGCCAAGTTCAATGGCAGGAATAAAAGGGGTCAAAGGGAAGACAGAGGTGCTATGGACCGGAGAAGATGTCGGAAACACAGCTGAACGCCAGGACAGAGCTAGTTTGGATTCTGATGGAAACAAACCAACCCTCCAAGAAATGTCTTAGGGAATTAGGGAAATTTGATTATGAACTGGGTATCAAAAGGAATGATCAATTTGCTAAAAGCAAAAACTTTGCTGTTGCCTAAGAAAACAACTCTATTTTTAAGGTATGTATTCAGAAGTATGCAGTGGTAAAACGACGTGAGATCTCAGAATTGCTTTAAGATACTTCAACATAGAAAACAACAAAAATATAAAGGGTGACAAGACTTCCAGACCATTTTATCTGGGTGATGGAAATAGAAAAGCTCATTATGCTATTCTTTTTTGCTTTTGCCTGGGTTTTTAGTGTGTGAAAATTTTCCTAATGACATTTTGAGATTTTAAAAGCCACTGGTGGCTTTGGGAGGCCCAGGCAGATCACTCGAGATCAGGAGTTCGATACCAGCCTGGCCAACACGGCGTAACCCTATCTCTACTAAAAATACAAAAATTAGCCAGGTGTGGTGGCGGGCACCTGTAATCCCAGCTACTCAGGAGGCTGAGGCAGGAGAATCACTTGAACCCAGGAGGCGGAGGTTGTGCTCAGCTGAGATCACACCATTGAACTTTAGCCTGGGTGACAGAGCGAGACCACGTCTCAGGGGAAAAAAAAAAAAAAAAAAAAAAAAAGAGAAAGAAAAACCACGGGTGGGGCAGAGGGGCAGGGAGCAATTCTGGACCCCACCATTGTCTTTTCCTGTCCCCAAACCTCTTTCTAGCCCCCAACACTGAGCAGCTGGGGCCAAGGAGAACTCACGGGGGAGCGACTGTGGAGAGTCAGGCTCCTTCCAGGGAGCAAGCCCAGAGGCAGGACAAGAAGACCCAGCCTGACCCCAGCCTGGAGCTGCCAGCCCTGGCTTCATGAGCCCACAGGCCCCTCTGTGCTCAGATGCTTCCCTTCCCCCCACAGCCCCTCTCACCCCATCGGAACTCCTCTGCACGGCGCTGGCGGGGCTAGTAGCCAGAAAGAGCTGGGTTTCCAGCCCCAGGCCCAATCTTTGATGAGGATGTTATAGCATCAAACCCTGAACCTGTACCCATCCAGGTGTCCTGGCTAGCAGCATCTGGGACATTAAGGCCTCAGTGGGGAACAGAAAAGTCAATACTCAACTTGGGCCCCCTCCTTCCCTACATGGAAGCCACTTCCTCTGGCTAGGATCTGCCCAGCAAGGTCAGAACTGGACACTTCCACCACTGAGAAAGTCCAGGCCATGGCTCTCTAGCACCCTCCTCAGAAGGCACTAGAAGGTTACAGATGTAAGCAAGCACCATGCCCATCCAGGCCTAGTCAGTGCTGGGGCATAGAGCTTAGGCTCAGTGTCCGGAGACTAGCCAGGGCTCAGAAGGTTAGGACAGTGTACCTCTCAGCTAGAGGAACTTATCCCAAACTGCTGGACAGCAAGGACACACTCTCCCACATCCCAGCACCCACTACCCTGACTCCGAGGCACAGACGAGAACCATCCTCAGGCAGTCGACGCAAGAACAGCCCCTAAGCCCTTTGTAGGATCAGCTGACACCTCTCCCTCCGAAGCTCAGGGAATGATGGAAGAATCCCCAAGAGGCTGTGATCCTCATGCTCCTCCAATGTGGTCCCAGAAGACTAGGCCTCCTCCCGTCCAGCCCTGGATTGCTGGGGTCCACCCCTTCTTAGCCACTGGGCATAGGCAAGAGACACAGAAGAAGAGTGCCTTTCACCTTCGGCATCCAGCATCTTGGGGATGTCCAGGTATTTCTCTGCCACGTCAAAAGCCGTGTTCAGATTTGTGAGTGGATCGTCCTAGAGGGAGAAAAGGAGGGAGGGATGTTAAAGTGAGAGCCATGACAAGTCACTGGCTACTCTCAATTGTGTGGTCACCCAAACTGGAGAACAGAGGGGACTTTCTCCCAGTCCCAGCTCAGTCCTCAGGGGGCAGCTCCGGATGGAGAAGGCTGGTCTCACTAATGGGGCTCACTAGCTGGGGGTTTAAAGCATTCTCTTTCACCCTTCAAGCTTCCGATTGTTAAGTAAATGGGGCAAAGGATATTGGTCTGCAGCCTGAGTCAAGGGTAGGAAAAAGCTGCTGCGGAATGTGTGCTAGGGGCCAGGCGTGGTGGCTCTCAACTGTAATCCCAGCACTTTGGGAGGCTGAGGCGGGCAAATCACCGGAGGTTGGGAGTTCAAGACCAGCCTGACCAACATGGAGAAACCCCATCTCTACTAAAAAGACAAAATTAGCTGGGCATGGTGGTGCATGCCTCTAATCCCAGCTACTTGGGAGGCTGAGACAGGAGAATCGCTTGAACTTGGGAGGCAGAGGTTGTGGTGATCTGAATGGCGCCACTGCACTCCAGCCTGGGCAACAAGAGTGAAACTCCATCTCAAAAACAAAAAATACGTGCTAGGAGCAGGGCACTGGCCTAGTCACCAAACATCCTGGCTTCTGGTTTCAGCTCTGCCTCCAGCCAGTGGGATTCGTAGGCAGGTAACCTGACCTCAGCTTCTATATCCGTTAACTCAAGAGTTGGACTAGGGAGCTCTAAACTCTGAACTAGTCAAGGTTTGGAACAGGAGCCCCTTTGGTGCTCACATTCCATGAAATTTGGGGGCTCCTTTAAATAGCCACAGCGTTGGACTGTTCTGGCTTCTGCTACCTTCTCAAGAACACTTAGCGGGGATTGGCAAGGATGTTGAGAAGCTGTAATCCTTGTGCAATGAATGCACCATAAACGTAGGTGGAATGTCAAATGGTACAGCTGCTGTGAGAACAGGATAGCGGTTCCTCAAAAAATTAAACATGGGATTAGATGGTCCCACAATTCCACTTGTGAGGAGATACTCAAAATAATTGAAAGCAAGTTCTCAAAGAGATAGTCACACGTCCACTGTTCACGGCAGCCAAGAGGTGGAAGCAACGAAAGTGGCCCTCAGCGGATGAACAGACAGCAGACGTGGCAACACGTACGATGGAGTCTTTCCAGCCTTAACGAGGTGGGAAATTCTGACACATGCTGCAACGTGGATGAACTTTGAGAATGTTATGTTAAGTGAAATAAGCTGGACACAAGGGGATACCGGCTGGGCAAGGTGGCTGATGCCTGTAATCCCAGCACTTTAGGAGGCCGAGGCAGGTGGATTACCTGAGGTCAGGAGTTCAAGACCAGCCTGGCCAACACGATGACACCCCATCTCTACTAAAAATACAAAAATTAGCTGGGTGTGGTGGTGTGTCCCAGGCTACTCAGGAGGCTGAGTGGGAGACCTGCCTGAATCTGGGAGGCGGAGGTTGCAGTGAGCCGAGATTGTGCCATTGCACTGCAGCCTGGGTGACAGAGCAAGACCCCATCTCAAAACAAACAAACAAACAAAAAACAACAAACAATTACAGAACCTGTTCTGTGATAGTTATACCTGTTTACTAAGGGCTGCTAGAAGCAACATTAAACCTCTCCTGGCCACCAAGAAGCAAGAAGCCCTTCCTGGAGGCCGAGGCAAGGCAGGAGCTGCCCTGGACACTGTGCTCTCTAGTGTCAAGGTGAAGTACACACACACAAGTCCAGCCACTCCTTCAAGTCCCCCGTGCCAAGAGGTTTGAGCAAAGACAAGCAACGTTCCAACCCCAACTCCAGGTCACCAACTGGGGACATGGGAAGGGCCTTTCCCTGGATGGCTGTGCCACACAGCCTCTTGGCACCAAGATGGACCAAGAGAAATCCTGGAGAATGTGGTCGGAGGGAACCTGGAGAGGGTGGTCAGAGGGAATCTGGAGAGTGTGGTCACAGGGTCCGGGAGGGAACCTGAAGAGTGTGGTCAGAGGGTCCAGGACAGGCTTCTTCAAGGTCCAGGGCAGTGTGTTCCAACCACCTCAGACACCGAGAACCACCACGAGGCTAGAAGCACAGCTCCCACCTCCTCATCTGTCCCCGCTCCTCACACCCACTCAAGAAAATCACTAGCTGAAGGTGGGAGTGAAACCAAAAGAACCCCCCCACCCAGCCAAACTTGAGCGATAAAGGGAAGCAACCCACGGGGCGGGGCGGGGGGTGTGGGACAAGCTGCCCAGGACTGCACAGCAGCTCAAGGACGAGGCGAGGATGAAACGTCTCTTAGAATATGCGATGTTTTAAATCATGAAAATAGTGTCTCCCCCTTACAAATCCAAGAAAAACAGAAGGGAGAAACACCACGTATCATTCCATCCCTCTGACCAAGCTGCTGCCACAGCTGTGCTATTTTTCCTGGTGGGCTGTGTATGTGTTCAGGTACACACACACCACGCACAAGGGTACGGTAGCTGCCCTAACGGGGAAGGTGCTTTTCTCGTCACTTTGAATTGGGGCTCCGTCGTAGTCTAAGGGGCCAACACTGCTCAGGTTGGACCCTGGATGTCACAGAAGGATCCCAGTCCTGCTCTTTTCCACTCTGCCCACCAGGGACGAAGCGGGAGGTCAGGTCGGCACACGTACCTTCCGCAGCTTCCCGTAGTCAATCAGTTCAGGCCGGTGTCGGTGGATCAAGGCACAGAAGCCAAGGCCGTCCTTCCAGCTGCCCGGGGAGAGGGAAGGGGCAGGCTGGTCAGTGGGGCGAGCAAATGGGCAGCCAAGCACTAACCGGGGCAAAGCAGGAGTCTCCTGGACCCCAGAGAGATGGACACACAGAGCTCTCTGGGGCAGGAGTTAGATGACAGGACGGGAAGGGCCATTTCTTCCTGCCACAATCCCAGGCACTGGGCTCGGGACTTTGTGGGGAGGTTGCCAAGTTGAGATAAACCTGCCACATCCAACCCTCCCCCACCATCAAGGCCTATGGCCTTAGTCTGCTGTTCCAGAGCCCTGGGCTGGGACTTCCTGGAATTTTCCTTGGGGGCACTCCCAGGAGCAAAAGCGTCAACCAACGGTACATCAGGCAACGGCTCTGTCTTAGACACTGCAGGGAGAGGGATGGGGGATTCAGAGGAACGGCCACATCCCCTTCCCAAAGAAAGCTGCTTCTTCCCCCAATGCACTCCACTTTGTTCTAAGCTGAGACTGACCCAGCCAAGGGGGTCTGGGAGCTCCTGGGGGAGGTGGCCAGGTTCTGCGAGAGCCCCTCGGCCCCCAGCACTCACCTTATGTGGAAGTTCTGGATGTTGACATTTTTGTAAGGAGCTGTCTTTCTCTGACACCACAAGAGCAGCCCTTCCTTGGCTGAAGTCTCTGTGGGGAAGGGGATGGGCAGTGAGGTCAGAGAGCTGACTCAGTGTGGGGAGGGAAGGGCGCCAGCTCATGGGAGGCCTCATGGTGACCCCTAGATGCCAACCCCGAAGCCACTGAAGGAGGACCCCTGGCCAACAAGTTTTTCCCTTGACAAAGTTTGAGAAGTTCTTTGAGAAACAGAAAAAGCAAGCTGAGAAGCTTTTCAGAGCTAGTCGTGTGACACATGTAAATTTTGAGACAACAGCTTTTCAAACTTCGAGAATTATCTCCCCCTACTTTCTTTTATTCAAAGAAATGGTAATGATACAAAATAAGTCAGCAACCTCTATCAGGTTGGGGAGGAAGATTTGATTGGTCTGGGAAAGGGACAAATCCAGGGGTCTCCAGACAGGGATCCTACAGCCTAAGGGATGCACACAGCTGAGTGAGAAGAAAGCACTGGGGCTCCTATATAGAGTCTGTTTTGATCTAAAAAATGAGGTTTCCTTATATTTACTACCTGGATCAATACTGCTGCCATCTGTGGGTGAAGCAGCCATGTGTCTGTGAGGTTAGGCAGGCAACTGGGGGGCTCACGGAGCTCCCAGCACAGAAGAGAGATTGCAAACCACATTCCCCGCTGCTACGCTTTGGCTGTGTCCCTGTCCAGTTCTCATCTTGAATTGTAGCTCCTATAATTCCCACACGTTGTGGGAGGGAGTTGGTGGGAGATGATTGAATCGTGGGGGCTGTTTCCCCTACACTGTTCTCACGGCAGTGGATAACTCTTAGGAGATCTGCTGGTTTTACAAGGGACTTCCTTGTGCTCTTGGCTCTCATCTTCTCTTTGCCTGCCATCCTGTGAGAGGTCCCTTCACGCTCTCCTGCTCCTTCACCATGATTGTGAGGTCTCTCCAGCCACGTGGAACTGTGAGTCCATTAAACCTCTTTTTCTTTATAAGTTACCCAGGCTTGGGTATGACTTTACCAGCAGCATGAAAATGGACTAATCCACCCCTGCGTTCATGCCTGTGAACTAGAGGTTAAGGTACCCAGTGGACTGGATTCATGAATGATCTCAATTATTTTCAATGCACAAAACGGACTTTAAAATGACATTCAAGGGTTCCTACAAATACCGTTAACTACCTAAGCAAAAGCAGACAATGTAAAAATTGCCAAAGCTAGTGCTTCTACTTAGCCTAAGCTCTTCGTCAGCTAAATCACAAGATTAACACAATGATGACTTCAGAGCTGACAGGAAGTCCACCCAAAAGAATCAAAATCATCAAGAAGGCTATTTGAGAAATGGATTTACATCCATTATCATTAACAAAAACCACACCAGTTGACTACTATGGCCCTCTTTCAACCCTAAATACCAAGTACCTATAACCCATACCCTCTGCATTGCTGTATCACAGTGTCAAACCAGGATCTCCATCACAAAGCAGCTGAATTGAACCTACATGGTTTTCATTAAGAAATTCATTTGATTAAAAACATTTATGATTTCTATGACATTGAAACATAGTATTTTTAAAATTTCTCCATCTCATCTTGCAGAAGTTTGTTTCAGTATGTGTGTTTTATCACATGCAAAGAAATACACAAATATTATTATGCAAGATAAATACATGCATAGCAGACGTAAAACTCAAAAACTACCCTAAGTGTGGAATCAAGTTTAGAGATCACTTCTCCAGACCGTGACGGACCTGGCAGATCTAGGAAGTGACCACTAGAGGGTGCTATGGAAGCAAAGTAGAGGACGGGGTTAGCACCCCTCCTGGCACTTCCTCCTGGCAGCTGGCAGCTATTTCCCCGAACAACCCAAGAGCCAGGTGGGATTTCCAATATACTTCCCCATGGCAGCCTTGGGCTTTTCCAAAGTGGGGAGTTTCCCTGGGGCCAACATGCCTGTGAGAATCAGAATGGCAAATACTTCTTTTTTCTACATTGACTGGAGATGAGGGCTGATGCCCAATACCAGAGCAAGAAGCCCAGGACATGGCCCCTGATCAACATCCATTGCGCTGGGTGTGAGAGTTCTCCAGGCTAACCCCAGGGAGGAAGATGAGATGGTGATGGCAGAATGGAACAAAGCAGAAACCTACCTTCCACAGAGATGTCCTGGATGGCAAAGCGCAGGATGATGGTCCAGATCATGCCCAGGGTCATCTTCACATTCCCATCTACGATTTCTACAGAAACAGCAGAATCATGCATCAGGAATGGCCTTGGCAGGGACAGAATTGACACTCCCTCAGCACCCACAGCACCCCATGCCCCATGCTAGGAATCAAAGACTCCAGAGCTCTACTTCTAGAGGGTACACCAGGGTTTCGGCTTGTTTTTGAGACAGGGTTTCCCTCTGTCACCCAAGCTGGAGGAGAGTGGGGCAATCATGGCTCGCCACAGCCTCCAAATCCTGGGTTCAAGCAATCCTCCCGTCTCACCTTCTTGGGTAGCTAGGACTACAGATAGGCCACCACACCCAGCTAATTTTCTTTTAATTTTTTGTAGAGACAGGGTCTTACTATATTGCCCAGGCTGGTCTCAAACTCCTGGGTTCAAATGATCCTCCTACCTTGGCCTCCCAAAGTGCTGGAATTACAGACATGAGCTACCATGCCTAGCCTGGATGTTTCTTAATGCAATAACTGTGACAGGTGCCAGAAGAAAAGTCTATTTGGGGCATAAAAAAAGGTGTGATCAATACTACTTGGAGACAGTGGGCACATCAGGAAAGGCCACAGAGAAGGAGGTATTTGAAATCTTGATCTGTGTCCCCAGCATGATAAAGAAAAGGGGGAGGATTTTTTTTTTTTTTTTGAGACGGAGTTTCGCTCTCGTTACCCAGGCTGGAGTGCAATGGCGCGATCTCGGCTCACTGCAACCTCCGCCTCCTGGGTTCAGGCAATCCTCCTGCCTCAGCCTCCCAAAGTAGCTGGGACTACAGGTGCACGCTACCACGCCCAGCTAATTTTTGTATTTTAGTAGAGATGGGGTTTCACCATGTTGGCCAGGATGGTCTTGATCTCTTGACCTTTTGATCTGCCTGCCTTGGCCTCCCAAAGTGCTGGGATTACAGGCGTTAACCATTGTGCCCAGCCAGAAAAGGGGGAGGATTTTGTAGGGCTGAAGGCCCCCACAGATTTGTGAGGTGTCCCTTATGCTGTGCTGAGGTGCAGGATCCGAGAAATAAAGAGATAGGACACAGAAGTACAAGGAAAACGCAGCTGGACTTGAGGGGATTTCTAAGCAGTCACAAATGTTCTGGCAATTCCGTGAGCTGGGGCTCTCTGGGCAATCACAGCTCTCAAAATAGCCACCCACACGTGGAAAAACAGTGGAAGCAAGAGAAAGTCACAAACTTCAAGTTTTATAAATTGCCATCTCGAACCATCCACTGACTCAAACTCACAATGCCATTAGTTTGGGTATTAAAACAGATTTTTTTTAAAAAAAAAATCAAACAGCTTCAAGATCAAACTACGAGATAACTCACTATATTTAGTCTAAGCAGTACTTTTTAGACTTTCAGATGCTACAAGTTCTATGAAGTAGATTTTCTCTTTTTTCCTTTTTTTTTCTGTATGAGGCCTAAAAACAGGGAATGCAACATAAATAAGTCCTACTTTAAGGAGCCCAATACATGGAGCAATTTATGGTCTTGTGGTTGAACAAGAGATACTCAAATGTAGATTCCTTCTCCCTTCATCACCTGCCTCCAGACCAAGAGATGGTAATCTGATCCATGGTAAGGCACATTTAGTTAAGAGTAAGGTACCCAAAGAATATCTTATTTTTTCCTACCTGCAACATTAATTTTAGGGGAGACCCAACAGAACCCTGAGAAGGATCAATTTCTAGGGAGTCCTGACTCTACTAGGATTTGCATCCCACAAACCCTGAAACAAGAGTGGATTTCCATTAAGGACGTTATGTTAACTTCTTAGCCCCTTTCCCCAAATTGAGGGCAACACTGTACACTGCTCCACGACCAGCAGGGTGTAGTCCATGGAGCGGTGTTTGGCCATAGCCACCTTCCATGGGGGCAGGTAACCCACTGAGTCTGCGTGGGATGCTGAGCAAAGGAAGGGTCCTCTTTGGACACGGAATAGGATGTAACTCTTCTTGCAAACAGGGAAGTAAAAATGCCCCTCTTAGAGCCCCAGACACCAGGGGGCACAGTCCCACATCCAAGGGCTTGGATGGGAGAGAATCAGAGAGCTGTAGCAGCATGCAACCCCTTTTGCAACCAAGCAACACAGCCAGCCAGCATTTTGCAGAGCACATCGTGGGGAGGTAGAACTACTTGTTAAGGATCAACTCATAGACCTGGCACAGTGGCTCAGGCCTGTATTCCCAACACTTTGAGAGGCCAAGACAGGTGTACTGCTTGAACTCAGGCATTCAAGACCAGCCTGGGCAACATGACAAAACCCCATCTCTACAAAAATACAAAAAGGAAACAACTGTGATAGTGTGTGCCTATAGTCCCAGCTACTCAGGAGGCAGAAGTGGGAGGACTGCTTGAGACAAGGGAGAGGCTGCAGTGAGCTGTGATTGTGGCACTGTACTCCATCCTGGGCAACAAAGTGAGACCCTCTCTCTAAAAAAGAAAAATCAGCTCATAAAGCTTTAATATTTTTAAACATGTATTTCCATTTGTTACTTCCAGTGGTTTAAAGAGTTCACCTAAATTGAAAAGACAAAAAGACTAAACTCTCAATAAATAGGCAAAAGACTAAAATCATAAAACATGAAATACAAATCACCAATTCATAAGAATGTTCAATCTCACTTGTAGTTAAAGAAATAAGATCATCTTCCCAGCTATTAGTAAAGTGAAAAAGCAAAGTGAAGCTGGGTGCAGCAGCTCATGTCTATAACCCTAGCACCTTGGTTGGCCAAGGTTGGAGGATCGCTTGAGCCCTGGAGTTCAAGACCAGCCTGGAGACCTTAGCCAGGTGCAGTGGTGCACACCTGTGGTCCTAGCTTCTCGGGAGGCTGAGGCAGGAGAACTGGGGGCTGAGCTCAGGAGTCCCAGGTTGCAGTGGGCTGTGAAAGCGCTGCTGCACTCCAACCTGCAAAAAAGGGCGAGGCCCTCTCTCTTAAAAACAAAACACAAAACCCAGAGTTGAACAACCGCACACCTTGATGCCAGCAAGCCTACCACACTAGCAGTATAAATTGGTTTAAAAAACAATAATAATAATTTCTGGGAAATTAATCAATTAATCTTCCGGGAAATAATTTGGCCACAAGGAGCACGCATTTTAAGGTTGCTCAACTTTTTGGCAGCAGAATTCTACCTCTAGGAATTTCTCCCTAGCCAATGAAAGGAAATGCAGAGTAGGGTTCCTGTATGAATGCACTTGGTGCGAGGCTATTTATCGCAGCCCGCACTGGAAACCAAGCACATGTACACGGTACACAGAATGACCAAGTAAATCCCAGACCCATCGTCCTCTGAGAAAACTTCCACAGCTTCCCACCCCGCTGAGAGTCAAAGCTGGTGGCCAGCAAGGCCTTCGTGGTCTGGTGCCTGAGCCTCTGGTCCTCTCCTCCTCCACCTCCTCCTCCTCCCCGCTGCTCGGGCCTCCCTGAAGCTGCCCCTCCCTAGATACCCACGTGGCTTGTCCTTGCCTCCCGCCAGTTTCACTCACACACCCCATTCTAATGGACTCCTCCCCTGACCACCCAAATTCCTCCTTGCTTTGGTTTTCTCCATCTGACAGGTGTACACATGTATTTTCTCCCTTTCCCCTCTAGAATGGAAGCCCCTTGAGAGTAAGAATATTTCCTGTTTTGCATCACTGCTTCAGAGTCCAGTATAAAGCCTGGCACAGGGAAAGCCCTCCACCAGCAGCTGCTGAGTGAATGCATGAGTGAATAAGCACTGACCACGAGCAGGGAAATGGGCAGAGCTAACACAGGCCTGCCACTGGGCCCCTGAGAACATAATGGCCCTCAGTTTCTTCCAGGGCAGGGCCCAGACATGGGACGAAGTACGACAAGCAGATAATGAGGCCAAGCATAGTGGCTCAAGTCTGTAACCCCGGCACTTTGGGAGGCCAAGGTAGAGTGGATCACTTAAGGTCAGGAGTTAAAGACCAGCCTGGCCAACATGGCGAAACCCCATCTCTACTAAAAATATGAAAATCAGGCAGACGTGGTAGCATGCGCCTGTAATCCCAACTACTCAGGAGGCTGAGGCAGGAGAATCACTTGAATCTGGGAGGCAGAGGTTGCAGTGAGCTGAGATTGTGCCACTGCACTCCAGCCTGGGCAACAGAGTGAGACTTGTCTCAAACACAAAGCAAAACAAAAAACAAAACAAAACAAAAAAGACAATGAATGTAGCCATTAACAATTACATCATGAGCGCTTAATGACTTAGAAAAACGTTTTAACATGGAAAGTGGGAAAAGCAGGTGAAAAAATTCATAAACAGTGTTTCAAATATAAGGGAAAATTTTGTTAAGCCTAGAAAAATGCTCCAAGCAGTAATCCCGTGGCTTGGCCTTCCTAGGGGTAGGGCTGCAATGCTAGCCCCACATGCTGCCCCACTCTGTGACTGCCAGACTCCAGGGCCTCCCGCTGGCCCTGAGCTCAGTGCCTGCAGACCTGCCCTCTTGGAGCCCTTCCAGGACTGGGAGAGGCAGGTGGCTTCTTTTGGGGGTCTTGCCTACTTATTCCTCTTCTCCTTCTCCAGAAACCCCCCAGATAATTTTGTTTATTGTATTCTCATTCACACCAAAGGCATAGTTTCACTCCAGACAATAGAGGCACCAAGCAGGAGCAGAGAGAGTTAGGTGTGCTTAACTAGCAGCCCAGGCACACCCAGCCCCAGTTCCCACCTGACTCCCCTCCCATCCACTCTCCTTCCCATTCCCTGGCATGGTAGGTCCTGTATTCCCGGCCTCCCGCTTCTCAACATTTGCAGCAGGGACGCCCTGTCTCACAGGCAGCTTTATGTCGGGGGCTGCTTGGAAGACTAGGCCCAAAGGGAGGGTTCCAAGGCCTCAACTGGCTTCACGGGAAAAACCCTGATGACAGATTAACACTGTCTGCCCTTCCTGGTCGACAGCAAGCTATGAAGCTGCTCGTATCCCCTCTTTACTGAGAACCTGTTTCTCCTTCCTCCTCCCTCCAGAGACACGGTCATCTGCTCAGTATTCAGATGGCAGGATGAATACTGCAGAAATTCCATGCAACAGAAACTAGAATCCCAGGCGCCACCACCTCCCAGACCAATGCTGTGGTACAGCACCCACTGCCCCTCCATCCTAAGGATACATGCTACCTCACTGAGACCACCTCCACGCTCACAGCACTCAAACCCGCGGGCTCTACCTGCCCAAAGATCTTAAATACAAAATCTTTTCAAGTTCTCTCTCCTAGTTAACTAAGTTGCAACCACTCAACCAGGCCACGTCCCAATTCCATGGAGTCCAGGCATTCTAGAACCGAGTATTGTAGCGGAGGCCGTCAGGAGCTGCTCTAACCTCTCCCTGATGCGTGCAAGTTCCTTGCCTCCAGCCCCCATGTGCACACCTTCAGGGAAAGGGAACTCATGACCTTCCCAGAGCCCTGCTTCCATTTACCAAGGCTCTGCATGTTATCCAGAGCCAACCTACCCATGGGGTCTCTCTTCTGGGCCTGGTTCTGCCCTTCAGAGTCAGCCAGAAGTCTTAGTCTTTGCACTGCATAATAATCCTTCAAAGACCTTGGCAGGGGGTGAGGGGGTGTGCCCTGCTGGGCCTGGTCTCCATGGCCACAGCCTTCATCAGCCCAGGAGAGACCACCTACAATGTGCCCCGGCTTGCTTCCAGGAGAGCTCATTTCAGGCGCTCCGCCCATTGCCTTTTATTTTATAACCTACATCGAGAAACTCCATTTCAATTTTAAAAGCTCGCAAAACACCATTTTCAGCCTCATCTAGTTTCTTGGCTCAACAGAGCGGCCATCGTGGCATGATCTAGGTGCTCAGCCTGATAGGGGTGGATGATTTCAGACCTGAAAGCCACAGCTGAAAACACTGGCTCCTCAGGGCAGGGAGAAGGTAAAGAATATCTCATTTTAAAGGAGGCTTTTCGGCCAGGCACAGTGGCTCATGCCTGTAATCCCAGCGCTTTGGGAGGCCGAAGTGGGTGGATCACTTGAGGTCAGGAGTTCAAGACCAGCCTGGCCAACATAGGGAAAACCTGTCTCTACTAAAAATATAAAAATAAGCCAGGCGTGGTGGCATGCACCTATAATCCCAGCTACTTGGGAAGCTGAAGCAAGAGAATCGCTTGAGCCTGGGAGGTGGCAGTTACAGTGAGCTGAGATCACGCCACTGTACGTAATCTAGTCTGGGCAATGAAGTGAAACCCTGTCTCAAAAATAAAAAATGAAGGATTCTTTGCAAAATCTTTAGAGAAGCTAGGCCTGTGTCAAAGGAAACAGGAAAACTGAGGCTGCCAGGTGAACGGCCTTCCCAGCACAGCAGCGGCAGTGAGATGAGCAGGGGCAGGCTTGATCTGCCATCTCATTACTGAAGACAATTTGACGTGCAAGTTCTTTCCTGGGTCCCCACCCGGGAGGCAGCGCTGCCGACAGTGACAGGAAGAGAGACACCTCAGCTCTGGAGCCTGAACACCTGGGTTTAACCCTGGCTCTGCCCCATAGAAGCAGTCTGGTTCAGAGCCTGGGCTCTGCTGACGACGACACTCTTCCATTCTAGCAACCTTCCCAAGCCTGAGTTTCGTTAAGTATAAAACGTGGCTAGTGGCACCCATCCCATGAGCCCTCGTGAGGGTAGGAGGAGACGGCCCGTGTAAAGCATCCTGTCTAACCAACACAGAGCTGGCGCCGGGTGAGTGCTACTCTCTCCCGCCTTCCCCTTCCCTGCCCTCCTCCCCTTTGGTAGAGGCTTTACAAAAAAAAGAAAAGAAAGTTGTTTTAATTTAGTTGCCAAATATTGCTTTTCAAAAAATCTGGATTTTCTGGCTTCTTTAGAAAAACTGGTAAATCTAGCAGCAATGGACCCACACAGCAACTTGTGACATCCACAAGGCCCCATCCCGCCACAGACACGATTCTCCAGTTCGCCACAGTCCCTACCCACCCCTGCCGCTCACCCCCGAGCCACTTCACAAATTCACTGCCCTTCCCTGCCCTCGTGGGCATCTGAGCCTGCACCAACCACCTGAGTGACTTTCTTTGGCTTCCCACACCTGCTTAGTTATAATTTTTTCTGCCAAGTCTTGACTGCTCCCTAATAAAACCAATTGTTCTTTTCTTATTATAAGGCAAAGAACATCCTCCTAATCACAAAGCAGGGTATACTGCTATAGGTAAGTCCTTTGAACATTTATCGAGCACCTAGTGTGTGCATCACGCTACTGGGAGCTGGGGCCACAGGATGTAGAAACCATGGTTTCTGCCTTTGAGAGGCTCACAGCCAGTGGAGGAGATGCTAGAATCCACAAGGCGCCCCCCATGACCACCGTGGGCACTGGCCCGAGTTCCAGCTTAGGCAGAGGTGAGGGAAGTTTTTTGTAGAGAGCCTGGCAAGAAATGTTTCTGGCTCTGTGGGCCATATAAGCTCTGTAGCAACTACTCGACTCTGCCATTGCAGCACAAAAGCCACTGATGATACGTTGACACAGTGTGCTGTGTTCCAGTACTTCCAAAAATCTGAGTCAGCTGGACTTTGCTGAGCCTGTGTTAAAGTCCTCAATTTGCTGTATCAACATAATACCACTCCACTTCTAGAAGAGAGGGGACTGTGAGCTTCAACCAGAGAGGAGACCTGCTCCCGTGGACTTTCCAGGAGCAAGACCCCTACCCCTCCAAGGAAAGGCCACTCTCTGGGGGCATTTTTCTGGTGTAATGAAGATCCGCGTTTGAGTTTTGGCTTTGCCACTTAACGGCAGAACTTTGAGCAAGCAATGTAATCTCTTTAAGCATCTGTTTTCTTATTACAAAATGGAGAAAATTAATTATTAGAGTGACCTCACAGGGTTATCGTGAGGATTAAGTATATGCCATGGAGTGAGCAATCCATTCTCACAGCCGCCGTGTGTCTTGAATGAATGAAAGAGATTTGTTCATCTTTAGGTCTCTGGCATCATGCAGCAGGTGCTCCATAAATACTTGCTAAATCCATGATCACAGGACTGACGGGGCCTGGATAGATTTTCTGCCCACTCTAAATGACCCACTCTCAATTTTTCAGAGCCACTACCATGCACACAAGAAATTACACTACCTTCTTTTAATCATTAAGAACATGCTAATATAGCTTTCTTTGGGAGTGTTTCTAAGTAAAAGTTAAGGAGTTAGGAAGCCACACTGCAGGGAAATGCTATTAAAAATGTGCCTAGAGACTTCTGGACTTGAGTCTTCGCAGGGCCCCGGGGAGCCTCAGGGAGGCCTCCAGCCTCCACCAGCCTGCATCTGCACATCCTTTGCAGCCCACACACAAATCCTCCACTCCAGGCAGCACGGTGCGGTCAGCTCTCCGGATGGAAGAGGTAGCCCGCCGCATATGCACAGGACTCCACAGAGCAAGGACGTGGCTAAGTGGGTGCAGGCACAGAATAGGGGTCTGAGTCCTTGGTGTTGGGCAGGGCTGAGACTAGAAGAAATGTGCTGTTGCAATATGAGGCATCCACAGGCGACCAGATGGAGGTGTTGGGGGCCCCACTGCCCAATGCCCCCTAGCGATGCATGGGCTCAGGAGACGGTGCAAAAAAAGGCCAAGAGAACCAGGAGGGCAGAGAAAATCAGACTCCTGGGGCCACCAGAGGCAGGCCTTACTCACCTTCAGCTCCAATGGACACCAGTTTGACGCCTTTGCTTGCTATGAAATCCAGGGCCTTGTTGACGTTGGAGATCTTGTGCACCCTCATCTTGCCTCGCTCTGGCTTGGCCAAGCGTTCGCCTGTTTGGATCAAGAGGGAGGAAAAGGAAAGTGAGAGGCTGTGACCCAGGCGCCAGGGCTCCTCTCACTACACCCTCATCCAAGGCACAGCTTAGCTAGGCAGGAGTGTGTGCACGTGTGTGTGTGCCCACACGCCACTCAGGTGCTGGAGAATGTCACCCTGGCAAGGGGTGAGAGGGAGAATCTATGCTGCCTCTTCTTTCTTCCACTTCTCAGATCCAAATCTGCTTACATCCACTCAACATTTATTCATCAAGCCCCTAGTGCATGCCAGGGATTTGGCTGGGTGCTAGGAATAGGGGGGTGAACAAAACAGTTTCTTGCCTTTATGTAATTATAGTCCAGTAGGAGAGACAGACCTTAAATAGAGAAACACAAATAAATATAGACAATGAACAAACACAAAGAAAGATCCATGCTCTTCAAAAGAGGAGGAGGAAGAGGAAGGAGGAACCGAGGTGTGGTCAGGAAAGGTCTGAGTTTCTGAGGCCAGGCAAAGACTGCAGGGAATGGTGATCGAGGCAGAAGGAACAGTAAATGCAAAGGCCCTGAACTCTTTCCAGCCTTCCCTTCGCCCTGGGAGGAGGGTATAGGTCACTCAAGTATTGTGGATGTCCCTGGTGTTTAAATGGAGTTGCCTATAGCAGCCTGTCCCCAGTTGAGAACCACAGTTCTTGTCCTGTTATGCCACCTCCTGTGGGCACCCAGGGCTCAGCTCCGGGTCAACCCTCCACCCCTACCTCCAGATTCCACACGAGAGCTTCTGCTGCTCAGGTTTCGAGCTCAGAACCTTCGAGAAAATAGAAGTAAAGGGCCGGGCGTGGCTCACGCCTGTAATCCCAGGATTTTGGGAGGCTGAGGCAGGGGGATCACGAGGTCAAGAGTTCGAGATCAGCCTGGCCAATATGGTGAAACCCAGTCTCTACTAAAAACACAAAAATTATCCAGGCATGGTGGTGCGTGCCCGTAGTCCCCGCTACTAGGGCGGCTGAAGCAGGAGAATCGTTTGAACCCAAGGATGGAGTTTGCAGTGAGCCAAGATTGCGCCACTGCACTCCAGTCTGGGCAACAGAGCAAGATTGTTTAAAAAAAAAAAAAAAAAAAAAAAAAAGAGGAAAGAAAGAAAAGAAAATAGAGGTAGAGGAGGAGCTGGCTCTCCAAATATCCCATTTTATCCCAGAACAAAGAGCATCCAGGGACCTCCTGAAATGATCTAGAATTTTCTAAGTGTGACATGTGGCCATACCTAGGGAAGGGGTACATAGCTTTCAGGATCTCTAAGGAGCCAAGGACCCCAAAAGGCTGAGAGCCACCATTGCAGAGCCTGGAACTCAGGCCCCTTGTGCCTGCCCTGATCTCCCAACCAGTTTCTCTGTCTCTCCAGCAGGCCAACAGTCTGGCTGCAAGGGCTCCAGGGACCAGACACTGGGATTCTGGGCCAGGCCCACCCTGTCAGAGCAGCACCTCTCCAGGTGGCCTCCCAGCAGCCCAATAGCTTCTGGAAGACAGCAGACTTCCTGCCACAGATGGGATCTGGCTGTCAGCTCCTAGGGAAGCACAGCTGTTTTTTAAATTAAATCAAGACTTTCCCCTCGGGGCCCACCCAAGGCTCTGGCTGCAGTCTAGCAAGGTACACCAGCATTTCCTGTCCAGGGGAGATGGCACAGGGGCTCCTCCCCCACAGGATGGATGCAGGCAGCACCACTCCCCTCCCTGGAGGGCTGCTCCTGCTACAGCCCCAGCCCTTGGGGCCTGTCCGGCTAAGCGGAGCTCCCCAGCCATTCAGCAGCTGTGCACACTGGCTAGAATGGGACTTCTACAAAAGAGAGTGGACAAGGCAAGGGTTAAACACGGGAGAATGGGAAAAGCTTCCCAGGCCTGGGCCAGTAGCTCTTAAACACTGGTCAGCACAAAATCACCTGGAGAACTTGCTAAACTGTGGCCGTCTGGTCCCTTTCCCCTCTCACTAAGTTTGTGACTGGGAGGTCTGGGGTATGGTTTGGAAATCTGCATTTTGAAAAGCAATCCTGCTGATTCTGGTGTGGGTGGTCCAGGGACCACACTTCAAGAACCTCTGTAGGCAGCATCCCCTCCTTCTCCTCATCCTGGGGCACGCTACCCATCTCCAAAGATGATCAGGAGAAAAAGGTAACATTTCACAGAACAGATCTTCCAGCCCTGGGAAAGAGACATGTGACTTACAGAAGTGCACAGGCTCCCCTCGGCATAGGTCAGACCCATGCAGCAGGAACACACTGAGTATCGTGGGGACAAGCCCAGCTCTGGGCACTCAATCGTTCTCATGTTCCCGGAGCACCACCTATGTGCCTGGTGCCATTCTAAGCACCTGGCACACAGAGAAGATGGCCTGCCCTAAGAGCTCAGTGTGGAGCAGAGAAGAAAACAAGCGAACCAAAAATGATTATGCTTTGTGGTAAAAGAGAGCAGAGGAATTAACAGGGTATTACCAGTGCTGGGGAGCAGGGTTAGGGAGGGAGGCAGGGCACAGTCCACTCAGATTCGGCAAGAGGGGAGGGGTGAAGCCTTCTTGAAGGACACCCTCAAGCTGAGTTTTGAAGAATGATAACAGTAAGGCCAGACTTGTTTACAACTGGGGGAGGCTGGCAGAGGAGGTAGGAAGCAGGGACATTCTAAAAGGCAGTTAGAGGCCAGGTGCAGTGGTTTACACATGTAATCCCAGCACTTTGGGGGGCGCTGAGTCCTGACCCGAGGCCAGGAGTTCAAGACCAGCCTGGACAACATGGTGGAACCTCATCTCAAAGAATAAAAGGAAAAAGAAAAGAAATAAAAATAAATAAAGGCAGTTAGAGAAAAATAGTATGGTGGCTCCTCAAAAAATTAAACAGGGAATTCCCATGTGACCTAGCAATTTCACTTTGGGGAATATACAAAAAAAAGGACTGAAAGAGGGATTTTAAAAATATTTATTTGTACACCCATGTCCCAGCATTATTCACAAGAGCCAAAAGGTAGAAACAACCCACGTGTCCACCCTCAGATGAATGAACAAAATGTGGGGAGCCATTAAATATTTGTCAGTCATACATACAATGGAATATGATTCAGCCCTACAAATGAAAGGGTAACAGGCGGGGCGAGTTGAGTCACGCCCATAATCCCAATATTTTGGGAGGCCAAGGTGGGCAGATCACCTGAGGTCAGGAGTTCGAAACCAGCCTGACCAACATGGTGAAACCCCGCCTCTACTAAAAATAGAAAAAAAAAATATTCGGTCGTGGTGGCACATGAACATGCCTGTAATCTCAGCTACTTGGGCGGCTGAGGCAGGGAGGCAGAGGCTGCAGTGAGCCGAGATCGCGCCATTGCACTCCAGCCTGGGCAACAAGAGCGAAACTTCATCTCAAAAAAAATAATTAAAAAACAAAAATAAGGGCAGTTAGAGTTTGTGCAAAGGCACAGGGAACAAAAAGAGCATATCATCTGGGGAGAACCGCACGTCTCCCCTGGCAGAGGATCTGAGGTCTGATACCTTTTTGGGAATAGTTAGTTAAAAACAAAGCAGGTGCCAGCTCCTGCAGGATCCCTCAAGCTATGCTAAGGAATGTGGACTGCAGGCTCAAAGCCCTGGAGAGGCACTGGGGGCTGAGAGCTGTGAGCAGGGAACAGCGTGACCATATTTGGACTGACTGTCGGGTGAGCCCTCTGGCTACAGCGACGGGGGTGGACTGCCAGGAGGAGCTGGGGCGAAGGCCTTTGTGGCATCGTCTAGGTGAGAGTTCACACAGGCCACACTGACGCCACAGCAGCAGGGGTTAAAAGAAGGATCAGGAAAAAGGAATCAGAATGAACAGAACATCAGTAACAAGTTACAAAGAAGAGCTGTCTATGATCCCAGCTTGGGTGCAGAAGAACAAGACTCTGGGAGGGAAAAGAGGTTTGCTAGGGCAGGAGTGACAGAAGCACAGAATTTTGGACATGCTGAGAGGATCGTGCGGGACATCGGGGTGGAGACGCCCAGCAAGGTTCGGTATTTGAGACGCAGCTCGATAGGTCTAGGGCTCATTGGCATCGAGGTGAAGAGAAAGTGAAGAGAGTAGCTATGATGGCCCAGTGGATCAACCAAGGCTAGACTCACGGGACCCCCACTCTTTAAGGCAGGCGTCCCCAAACTATGGCCCACGGGCCGCATGTGGCCCCCTGAGGCCATTTATCCGGCCCCCCGCCGCACTTCAGGAAGGGGCACCTCTTTCATTGGTGGTCAGTGAGAGGAGCACAGTATGTGGTGGCCCTCCAACGGTCTGAGGGACAGTAAACTGGCCCCCTGTGTAAAAAGTTTGGGGATGCCTGCTTTAAGGGTTGGTGGCAGAAAGGCATTCATAAGCAGGCTGAGATGTGTGTGTCAGGAGAGCTGTCCCTCTAGACATCTGGACAAACCAGGTGCTAGGGAATGGCCTGGGTCACCTGGATACAGGTAGATAGGTAGTAATGGAGCCAAGGTTTGGAGACAGTCACCCACAGTTAACATTATTGGCCACAGAATCCTAGTACTGGGGAGAAGGAACCTCAGTTCCTTCAAACTGCCCCTGACCTTTTTCTTTTCTTTTTTTTTTTTTAAACAAATGAGGATGCTGAAACAGAAAAGGCAAAGCAACTTATCCAAAGCAACTGGATGGCTAGCAGCAGAACCAGGACTCAGACCAGACCCAGGCTCCTAGTATGAATTCAAACATATCATCTCCAACTTGTTTCAAACAGACCCAGAACCAGCTGTGCTCATGGGCAGAGCAGACGTCAAGGTGTCAGGCAGAACCCACAGGCAGCACCTCGTCCTGGGCCAGGGTCCGCCTCACCTGAGATGACCTCCAGCAGCAGCATGAGCTTCAGGCCATCCCGGAAATCCTCTTCGATGTTCTCGATCTGTGTCCCTGCCTTCCGGAGGTGGGAGTTGCACCATGCCGTGAATGTCTGGGCAGAGAGAAGAAAGGCAAGTTGTCAGGGGGCTGGTGTTGTCATCCTCACTGGACAAGCCATTTAACGGGGTCAGGGGGTTGGCAGTGGACACCCAGTCAGCAGAGCCTCTCAACACAGTTGTCCCACCATGGTCTCATTCACTGCATCAACCAAGTGCTGAGCTCTCCACAGGGCAGCAGCCTAGGGGCTCTATACAGAGCCCGCTGCATGGATGGGAGCCAGCAGGAGAGATGAAGCAGCAAATTCCCTTAACATCTACCTCCCAGCCCTCCCTCAAAGACATCATGGCCACCTACATTTGAAAATGCCACAATTCCATTCTTACGAGTTACCTCTTAGATTATTAACACTTGGTTTCAATCTTCACAGTTTTAAGATGGAGTAACCCAGAAGTAACATATTAAGCCCTGTTGATACCTTAGGGTAAATTAGTGTATTAAATCCTTTCTAACTTGGCAGCCAACTAAGAGAAAGGAGTAATAAGTTTCACTGAGGGCAGAATTCAGACACAGGGTGTCAGGATAAGGGGGAAGAAGAGTAAGCACCCAAATGTCTATCTGTGTGTGTTTTAGGTGGGGATAGGGGCACCTTAAGCTGCAAAAGCATGAAGAGTTCCAGAAAGGGAATGTAAGAAGGTTAAATCAAAGACAATCAGCTTCATAGTTACTTCTCTATTAAGCAGATCATGATCAGGTGAGGCAGCAACCAAGCCATCCTGTGCCAACAGCACCACCTGGTGGTTCAAACAGGAACATAGTGTCTCAACAAACATGAGAAACAAAAGCATGCATCTCAATTTCACGTGTCCATCTAAAACAGTGTCTCTCCCCAGCTGTCACAGTCTGTGCCCATCAGAGAGAAGGGCTCCCTTGCTTTAGATCTAAACCATTCATTTGCAACTCTAGATTTCTCTGCATCAAATGACACTACCAATTACATGGGGCTCTCCCAATGCCAGAGCCATTCAGCTCTCTTCCCACCTGCCCTGCAAAGTTCAAAGGGTAAGCAGCGTATCATTCATGTGATAGTAGGAGCCACACTAGAAATACTCTTCCTCCTAGGGAAGGTCACAGCCTCAGAATTCGCACCACCCCTTCCTCCTGCCTTGGGGAACTCCAAAGTGAAGTGGCAATGAGTGGTCAGGAAGAGGGAAGAACATTACACCAATGAGTATGGGGGAAAAGAAATGCCTGCTTAGATTTAGAAGCAAAGGTTGTAGAGCCTGGGAGCAAGAAAGGGAGCAGGGGGATGGAAGCTATCACTCCATGCAGGTGGAAAGAAAGGGACAGCATTATGACAGCCTGTGACTTTGGGCTCAATCTTTCAATCATGTCTCATTAGTAACTTACCAATACAGAATACCTCTCCCGCTGCAAACGTATCTCCACTCTGCAGGCCAATCTACTCCCACGATGAAGAGAAAAGGGATATTGTGCTACCTCGGAGCTTTGGGAAGACTGGCACACAGATCAGGGGTGGACAGTGGAATACAATGACTTCCAATGTCTTCTCTCTCTTGCTTGGCTAACTCACTCATGTTTTAAGACTGGGTAGAGATATCACCTCCTCCAGGGAGCCTTCCTGATGAACACAACCACAGCACCCTGCATTCACCCATTATTGCCTAGCCACTTGTCAGCTCCACACCTGGGAGCTTCAGGAGGTAGAAACTCAATGTTCACCTTTATATCCCAGAGACCCAGGGCACAGAGTCAGGGACATAGCAGTGAGCTAAAGAGCAAAAATCCCTGCCTCTGAGCAGCAGACATTCTAGTGGGTGTTAAGAATCGGGCAGCCAGCTGAAGGCAAAGGGGGGAACTGGATGCAAAGCTGAGAGACTCCTGGGAGATCCAACTGCACCTTGTGGGTGGGGCTGAATGCTCTCCAGGCAGGGGTGATGGGACGAACAGTGCTCTTAGGGACCCTCTGGACCCAGAAGACAGCTCAAAGGAAACTGGACGCAGCAGGGGAGGGAAGCATATGTACGGGGCATCCTTCCTCCGGTGCCGGCACTGCAGGAGGTGAGAGGCTCTTTAGCCTTTACCCTTATTTCTTTTAACTTCCTTTTTATTGGTAGAAAAAAAAATTAAAGGATTTTTAACTCTTTAAAACAAATATAATTCATTTTGGTTTTGCACATTCTCTCCCAGCTATCATCTGTCCACACTGTGGGTCTGCCCGGCGTCTTCACGTCGCACATTCACCCTGGGGTGGGCGGTCTTTTCTCATTCATCACCGTCTTGGCCCTCCCCAGCACCCACTCCCAGGCCCACAGCGCTGAGCCTTCAGCCTAAGGTTTTCTACTCCCTCGAGGGGAACCACGTCAGCCCGAGCAACTCGAAGGGACGCTTTCAGGTCCCACGTGGCCTGAAACACCTAGGGTCCCAGCAGGCACTGCCCTGTGCCCGCCCAGCTGAGGGCTGTAAATTCTCACTGTTTACTACCCAGTTGTGGAGGGGGTTGGGGTGAGATAAAGGAGGAAGAGGCTGCTGTTGTAAAAAGACACTGCTTTTGAAAGAGGAAAAGCACTGCTGAAAGCAGCCTGCCCCCTTTCCTGGGGAAGCCAGGCTCAGCCCTGGGAAACAAAACACACCTGTGTTTGCTCTTGGGTCTCCTGGACAAAGCCCTGGAGCACAGCTTTAGTAAAACCCCCAGGCCCCAGAAGCCCCACAGATTACTGCCTTGAAGGGGGCTCTGAGCACCTCTCAAACTGGAAAGTTTCCCCAACAAGCAGCACCCACCGGAAAGTTTAGGCAAGAGGAGAAAATGGTGGCAGTAAGTCAGTGATTAACAACGTGCACTTCGGGACGTCTCAGCTGGGATCAGTTCTCAGATCCACCATTTACTGGCTGTGTGACCTTCAGATCAACCTTCCTAAACTTCAGCTCCCTTCGCAGTAAAATAGGGAGAGGAACAGCACGTCATCAAAGTTAAAAAGATTAACTCAAAAATATCCATAAAGAACTTGCCATTTAGGAAATGCTCAGTGAACAGTGGGGAGGAGGAAGAGGACTAGCTCCCGGAATTCTTCCTGGGGCCAGGTATCAGAGGACTCACTCCTCTGTGCTCCCACCCCACATCCTCTGCCCCCAGCCCCCAAACTCTCCTGTTGTGGGTCCCACCCCTCCACGTGATGTACTGTTTCCAAGATGGCAACATGCAAGCTTTTTTATTGTTTTGAGACAGAGTCTCTGTCACCCAGGCTGGAGTGCAGTGGCGTAATCTCAGCTCACTGCAACCTCCACCTCCTGGATTCAGGGCATTCTCCTGCCTCAGCCTCCAGAGTAGCTGGGACTACAGGTGCATGCCACCACGCCCAGCTAATTTTTTTGTACTTACAGTAGAGATGAGGTTTCATCATGTTAGCCAGGATGGTCTTGATCTCCTGACCTCGTGACCCACCCGCCTGGGCCTCCCAAAGTGCTGAGATTACAGGCATGAGCCACTGCGCCCGGCCCTGAGCTCTTTTTTGAACCAGTGCTAGTGCATTCACGGGAGAGGGCTAGAAGTGCGGCATGGGTGCAGGAAACCAGGGATTTCCACAGTGACCTCATGCACCCCTGCAGAGGAGGTCTGACAGCCTCTCCTCCAGCCCCGGACTGCCTTGGTCTTGAGGCTCAAGCTCCAGTATGAGGGGGCGGCATCTGCTCCTTAGCAGTGCTCCACGGGTCCAGCAAGGAGGAAAAGGCCAAAGCCACAGGAGAGGCGCACGCTAGAGACCCACAGCCCCAAGACCTCCAGCCTGGACGCCTAGCGAGGTGGACAGTGCTTCCCAGCAGGTTTATGCCCCAGCCCACATTCAAACACAGGGAACGGGGCCATTTTCCTGCCTCAGCCCCACCAGGCCCTGCCCTACCTGACCTCCCCTCACCCCAAGAGCCATCTTCAAGTCACCACCTTGGGCCATGCCCGGGCTCACAGCCTGCAAAGGAGAACTGGGACGGCAGTCTTCAGTGGAGCCGCTCCACTCCAGAAATGGCCTCAGGGATGCCGAGAGGTCCCAGGAAGAGTCTTGGGACCAAGGACCGCATTGGGACGTTCCTGCAGAGCAGCAGCAACGGCCTCCTCCCCTCTCGGCAGCCCCGTGTGCATTCCACCCGCCCCTGCCCCGCACAGCCTCAAAGAGCCCAGGACAGAGGGAGGGGCTGCAAAACAGCCTGGACCCCTGCTCAGCCTCTCATGGACCTTGAAGCCGCTACCCACGTCTAACATGGTTTACAGGTGGTTTCAGGAGGTGGAGTGTCCAGCCCTGTAGTTCAGGGTTGTAAAGAGGGCCCCAGGCCAGGCTAGCGGCCATGGAGCTGGCCGTGGAAACCTGCAGCACAGGTCTCACAGCCCTGCTCTCACCGATTCCGCTAACATCTTTCCAGCGTATCTTTCCCAAGTATCAAGTTGATATGCTTCCTTTAAAATGTGTTGGAAAGGAATATGGCTTTTGAGAATGTGCCTTCCCTGCCCCCCAGCTCAGACACACTGCAATGTGACTTTAGCCACACAGGCCTCTTTGAGCCTCAGTTTTTATATCTGTAAAATGGGGGACAATAGCATCTCCCAGGCATGACTGAGAGGAAGTTCCCTTATTCAGTAAATGATATTAACATAGGAATGTTGGTAATTTACGTGGATAATAATAAAGTATCAACGTGTCTGAAATACAATGAGTGTGCACAAAGTGGTGGTGCCTACCGTCATCATCACTGCCTAAATCTTAGCTTCTAAAAGGATGTCTAAATCATCACGCTCAGCAGGCATCTGCAGTACAGAGGATTACCCCGGAAGCATGAGTTGGGGGATGAGCTTTTGCAGGCAAGCATTCTTCACCCCCTTGGTCATGGGATTTGCTGGGATCACTCTGCAGACAGGTGTCCATGGGAATGCAAGGATTTAGTCACTCTAAAGAAGACACTGCAAATCCAGGCCTATCAACTTCTAGCAAGTGGTCAACCCTGGACAAGTGACCTGACGTGCCTCTGCCTTAAGGCACCATCTGTGAA